CAATACTTGACCAGGTTTGTCGATGTCACTCCGCGATCTCCGCCCAGCCAGAAGCTGATGTCCTCTCCATACAGCTGGTACCTCATGTAGTCCTGCGTTCCCTTGATGATGGAGTACAAGAGCAAAGGGGCTGACATGTAGAACAGCTGTGTTGAGCGCCAAATGTTGTCCATGGATAAGCCGATCACCTCGTTGGCCTCCATACTGGTTGAGAGAGTGTAACGCATGGCCGAGGCAATGACCATGCCCCAGCTCAAGATTTGCACCGTAAGCATAAATGAGAACATGCCGGTGGAGGAGAAGTGATAATTCCGCTTCGCGAAGATGCTGTAGTAGTTGAAACCAATCCTCGCACGTGGATAGCATGAACAAGCAGCAGCCTAATGATGGCGACTACATGTGATATATGCTGTCAAAGCCATTCTTTTCCAATGAAACATGGAGCAGACAGCAACCAATTACTTCTGCAGTGGCGACACATCCTCAATAACCGACATCCTAAGAGTGAGTGAACCTGTGTATTCTCCGAAAATCAGCTGAAGCTCCAGAAGAAAGCACACCAGAACCAGATGAAGTATGTGAGGTTGTCCATCGAAATCAGCAACCGCCCCCACCACCGCATCTCGTCTGGCCACATGATTGGCAGCTTCAGCCCGCACACTCGCTGGATGAATTTCAACATTTCCGTCAGCACAAAGACCAGAAACATGAACAAGACCAGGCTGACCACCCAAACGATGAACTGGAGAGTCATGGTCAGATACGTCTCAAAAAGCTCTGGATGTTCATTGAAGTAGGCACTGCGAGCAATGAGTTCGCAGCTCCTCAGCCAAGACACAACGGGCTGCATGGTCTGCTGGTACCAGGTTTCATCCACCAAACCCCACTTGACAATCTCCCACGTTGTGTCTGTCTTGCTGACGAGGCGGAACAGCGAAGCGAGGAAGCAGAAGAAGAAAATCAGCGTGAACCACACCATGTAGACACCCTTGTGGCAGCTGAAGAACGTCTGGAGCGACAGGACCACTCCTCCCTCAGCCCATCGCTGCACTGCCGCCAAGTAGTCGATAGGGTTCTTCGCCATGCCATAGGACAAGCGGCGGTTGATGAACTGGGACCGTCGGCCTCGCAGCACTTGCTGCAAACTACTTGCCGTGTCTTCGACCTTGCAGCTCTCGTGAAAGGTGCGGCGCTCCACATACTCCTGGCTCTTGCGCTTGCTCTCGACGTCCCGCACCCTCCGACGCTCTTTTTCCCAAACCAAGTCACCTTGCGGATGCTTGATCATCCATGTGCCGTTCGTTCCACACGAGCTGACACCACCGCAGCAATTCCGGATCATGCAGTTCAGTCGAAAGAACTGCGCGTTGTTGTTGTCAAGGTAGTCGAGTTTGTCCTGCATCTCGTGGAAGAACTGAGGGCACTGAGTGAAGCCAACGTAAGGATTGAGTTCCATGTCATCATCAAAGAAGTACGGGATAGTGCTGTGGAAGAAATCCGTTTGGAACTGATGTCGTGCATCGCAAATGCTATACAGACACGGAAAGTTGTCTCTTTCATCGCCGTACATGTTCTCCGGCTTGTCCGCATAGAGGCACAAGTAGTTCTCCGAGAAATTCAGGCCACCTGCCTTGCCGCGACTGGTCCGGAGGGGCACATTGTTCATGAAGGGATCGTCATCTTCCATGCCATAAACCATCTCCCGAGCCTTTGCACGCAGCTTCAGCCAGTCCCGGTTTTCTGCATTCTGTGGGACCTTGTAGTACCAGGTTCCTGGGGCCACATGCTGGGCCTTGATGGTCCGTTCGTCCTCCATCGGCTTGGCCCGTGCGAGATAGTGCAGGCGAAGGGCCAAGCTGTTGCGATCCTGAGGCTCCCAGTCTGCCACGTCGTCCAAATGAAGGTCTTTCTTTTCCTTTTTCATATTCTTGAGATCCTCCTCCAACGCATGTAGGGCAACGTCGAGGGACTCGAATACCTGGGACGGCATTGAACTCCAGCCACCTTCTTTCCGAAGCTTTCGCAGCGCATTCTTGCCACTCATGCGCGAGAGAATCTCGGGCTCGATCTCACCGGGATAGCCATCCTTCACTTTCGCCAAGTCCATCTTTTTGGTGTCTTCCACCCATTGTTGGAAGAAGCGGCTGACATTCTCCTCGTAGCTTTCACCTCCAAAATTCGGAAGCCTCTCAATGATAGCAGCAAGTTTCATGAACATGACTTTTTGCTCTGCTCTGTGGCCCTCATCGACAAAGGCCACGTGGTAGCGGCACCTGCAATCCTTTGGCATGCAGCCGATGGCACCGACGATGTTCCGCAAAACTGTGCACTTGTTCTCTCCAGCACTTGGCACCGTCACAACTATGTACCGCAGCTGGGCAGTCAGTTCGGGATCATACCGCCGAAAGTGCGGGTACGGGGAGAAGACACCAGGGCACAGCATGACTGCCTTCACACCGAAGCCGATCAAGAGCACGTAGCAGAAAAGCCAGACAGGAGCAGTTTGGTTCTTCTCATACCCAACGAATCCGATGAGTGCAGACTCGTTGATGTATCCGTCACTGCTGCAGTTTGCCAGAGCTCCTTGGCCTGACTGGCAAGCATGTGCACAACGACCCGACACAGCAACGCAGCGATCATTGAACGGAGGAGGGGCTGCGCGCTGGCCAGGCTTGAAGCGGTCGAAGCCGTCGTCATACAAGCTGCTGTTCACAGCACAGGCCACCAAATACAGTGGCCCCTGCCGGCCATAGCACCAACCGGGATCAATTTCCAATCGGTTTAGTTGGTTTAACTTCATGGCATGTTGGCTCACGGGATCCTTGACGGGCAGGAGCTCTTCGTCGTACTCATTATCTCGCTGTTTGATCAATGGCTTTCCATTCGGACCCACTGGCACTGGAGGGTCTGTTTGGGTGTAGTCACTTTTGTAAAGCTTTTGCCACTTCCCTCGCTGGTTTGACGACTGCAGCACGAAAACGCGTGGTTGGCTAAAGACGTCTGTGCCCTCGGGGATGGTCATGCCGCTCACCGTGATCCGGAATCGCGGAAGTGAAGTGTACAAAACCGGTGTCTTTGCAGTACTGCTGCTGTCGGGATCACCCCCTGTCGAAGCGCCACTCGTTCCACCCGTGCTTTCTGTGCCAAATCCTGGGAGAGAGCCTTCCGGATCAGCTAGGCCTGGGGGCAACCCACCAATGCCTGGAATGAACTGCAAGCGTCGATAGTCCTCCTCAGTTCTGGGGTCATACATGCATTCATGGCATTTCCAATTTTGGAAGTGTTCCGTTGTCGTCTCGCATTCCCCGGGCAGTCTTCCTTCAACACACTGCTTCATCTCGACGGCTCCATTGAAGTTTGCGGTTGGGATCTCCCGGCCAGCCACAGATGAGGAGGTCATTTGAATGATGCCATTTTCGGTGCAACCCTGCATCAAGTTGGAATTCAACACTGAATCACAGGTCCAACCACAAACCCCACCGGCGGCATAGCAGTGCGTTCCTACTGCGGCATCATCAAGTTCATGGAGCTTCTCTAGCTCGGCAAAACTGTCAGGGCTCCATACAGCACACGCCAGCACGTACAAGCCAGAGTTTGCGGGAGCCACATCCACGAAATCGCCTACTGGAGGCCGAATGCAGGAGTCTGTATCATGCACGTACGCATGGCCAGCCCTGTCTGTCCATGCTCGCCAGAAAGGAGATGGCCAAGCGTGGCGTCTGTCCGCAACGACCCACCAATCACTGAAGTCTGCCGAGGCTAGCAGTACAGGGTAGACTGTGTGGACATACCCCCTTGAGAGCGCAGAGTGATTGAGAGTAAGGCTGACTCTGAAGTTCATTTCGTTTGTCCTGTATCCACGCCAGGATGAACAGGAGTAATTGCAACTGTCTGCATCTGTCGGCAGCGGGGACATCTGGATTGCATGTTGCTGATGGGTTCCATAGCTGCCATCGCTGTGTTCCGCTGCGAGGTCCTGGCCGTGGACTGCAGAAATGGCGGGCCACTTCGGGAAGCGCTCGTGCCAGTACTGTGTTGGCATGGGGTTCGTCACGAGCCACTTCGTCCACAGCGGAAAGACCACGAGAAAGATCAGGAACTGGCACACATAGCAGCAATGACAGCAGCACGCCGCAGTGAACGCAGGAGCACAAGAACCTCAGCGATTATGGCCCAATTATGGCTGAACAATTTTGGGACATGCATGCCCGTTCAACTCTTACAGCCACTGTTCAGGTGCTGAGCCAGGCCACGGCGAGGTTTCAAGCTTACCAGCGTCTGGTTCTCGGTGCTGTCATCATCGAAAACATGTTCTTGACCGGCTTCACTCCCAGCACCTAAGCTACCAAAGTCTGACAGCCAAAAACGCTAGTATCGTGATGCACTGCCCATGCCATTTGCGATATCGTTACCACCTGCAGGCAGCTAAGCAGCCACAAGCGTCAGCGCCCACAGCCTGCATGTCCTCGGCATGCTGCAATGTGCCAGTCTTCGCACGATTTGGGCTTCGGGTGACAGCCCTTGCAATTTTCCGGCAGCCCGTTCAAATGCTGACGCGGCACTAAGGGTTGCCTGACTGGCCGGCCAAAAACTAGCTCGAACCAAATGCAAACGCGGTATTCCCAGTGTCTCTTCATTGATGGTTGCTGGTGCCTGCTCAAGCGCACTTAGCACCACAGCTACAGACGATCCAAGCCCCAGAATGAATCACAAAGCCATACAAGGCCGCAATCCTTTTCGCGCAGTGTCCGTACAGTGGACTCGTGAATCATTGGTGTCCGCAAGGTTTAAAATATGCAAGGAATGGCAAGGATGCGTGAGCACAGCCTGTCTATGGAATACGGCGACATGTCTACATGGCAGCTAGAACCCCAACTCGCCGAGTTGTCGTGATCAGTTGAGGCGCATCAAGTTTTACTGTTACTACAATGTAGTCACTTTCCTTGCACAGCTGAATCAAATCGAGGCTTCCCCTCAAGAGTCGATGTCCGAGCATCAGTCTAGCGATTTGTAGTAGAGCCGATCATCATAAAGGCTTGGTTAACGCCAATGTATGGCATGAAGAGAACGAGGAAGGGCATCAGTACGAACCAAGCTGGTCCCAGCCACTTGAAGATGCCAGTGACCGTTGGGTTCAAGATAAGCCTCTGAAGCATCAGCTCCCACCATCCTCGGGTCACAATGGCCTGACTCCACGTGAGCTTGGCCGCCTTCTCTTTGGTCATTTTGGTCCGTCCCACCCACAGGTAGGTGCACGGGTGCAGAACATCGAGAGCAATCAGGGAGACAATGAGCACGGCAGACATGACTCCGGTGTGCTTGCGCCCCTCGATGAGGTAGTAAACCCAAGCACCCATCGCGCCAAGGATCAACAGCAGCGTCCAATATTTCACAAGATTGGTAGACATCACACCACGATCTCCACCGACCCAGAAGCTGATGTCTTCACCGTAGAGCTGGTACCTGATGTAGTCCTGCGCTCCTTTGATGATGGAGTACAAGAGCAAAGGGGCGGTCATGTAGAACAGCTGTGTTGAGCGCCAAATGTTGTCCATGGATAAGCCGATCACCTCGTTGGCTTCCATACTGGTTGAGAGAGTGTAGCGCATCGACGAGGCAATGACCATGCCCCAGCTTAAGATTTGCACTGTAAGCATAAATGAGAACATGCCGGTGGAGGAGAAGTGATAAGTCCGCTTCGCGAAGATGCTGTAGTAGTTGAAACCAATCCTTAGCCGACATCTGTGTGACGGTTCGGTAGTTTTCTTGAGGGTCGCAACTTCTGGACTGACGCCGCATGAAAGCTTGCAGTTTGACAGTATGATTGCAAAGGGGCTGTTCTAGATTGTCTACGGGTTTTGTACCTCATGGTTGGACAAGACTGCTGTCAGCTCCTGTGCTCGTAGTACATGCTGTTGCTTTCATGCTGCTCCAGTGCAGCTGAGGGGCCAGAAGAAGGCAGTCCAGAACCACAGGAAATACGTCAAGTTATCCATCGAGATGAGGAGTCGCGCCCACCAACGCATCTCGTCTGGCCACACAACGGGCAACTGCAAGCCGCACCGGCGTTGGATGAACTTCAGCAGCTCCGTGAACAGGAAGACCAGGACGAGGAAGAAAATCAAACTGACAACCCAGATCGTGAACTGGAGGGTCATGGTCACAAACGTGTCGAGCAGATCTGGATGTCGCTTGTAGTAGTTGTTGTTGGCAAAATTCACCAGGGTCCGCAGCCAAGACACAACGGGCTCCTGAATGGTATTTTGGTACCAGGCTTCATCCACCAAGCCCCACTTGACAATCTCCCACGTTGTGTCTGTCTTGCTGACGAGGCGGAACAGCGAGGCGAGGAAGCAGAAGAAGAAAATCAGCGTGAACCACACCATGTAGACACCCTTGTGGCAGCTGAAGAACGTCTGGAGCGACAGGACCACTCCTCCCTCAGCCCATCGCTGCACAGCCGCCAGGTAGTCGATAGGGTTCTTCGCCATGCCATAGGACAAGCGGCGGTTGATGAACTGGGACCGGCGGCCTCGCAGCACTTGCTGCAAACTACTTGCCGTGTCTTCGACCTTGCAGCTCTCGTGGAAGGTGCGACGCTCCACCAGCTCCTGAATCTTTCGCTTGCTTTCGACATCCCGCACACGCCGTCGTTCCTTCTCCCACACCAAGTCTTTGTCTGGATGTCTGATCATCCATGTGCCGTTCGTTCCACAAGAGCTGACACCACCGCAGCAATTCCGGATCATACAGTTCAGTCGGAAGAACTGTGCGTTGTTGTTATCCAGATAGTCAACCTCGTCTTGCATCTCATGGAAGTACTGGGGGCACTGTGTGAAACCCACATACTGATTGAGCTCCATCTCATCGTCGAAAAAGTATGGGATGGTGCTGTGGAAGAAATCCGTCTGGAACTGGTGCCGGGCATCGCAAATGCTGTAGAGACAAGGCGCAAGGTCGCGGGAGTCGCCGTACATGTTTTCCGTCTTATCCGCATAGAGGCACAAGTAGTTCTCGCAGAAATTCAAGCCACCTGCTTTGCCGCGACTGGTCCGGAGAGGCACATTGTGCATGAAGTGGTCATCATCTTCCAAGCCATAAACCATCTGCCGAGCATTGGCACGCAGCTTCAGCCAGTCCTTGTTGTCCGCATTCTGTGGGACCTTGTAGTACCAGGTTCCTGGAGCCACATGCTGCGCCTTGATCGTCCGCTCGTCCTCCATGGGCTTGGCACGTGCAAGATAGTGCAGGCGAAGGGCCAAGCTGTTGCGATCCTGGGGTTCCCAATCTGCCACGTCGTCACGATGAAGGTCTTTCTTTTCCTTCTTGAGATTTCTCAGGTCCTCCTCCAAGACGATCAGAGCATCCGAAAGTGGCTCAAGGACATGTGGCGGCATCGAGCCCCAGCCACCTTCTTTCTTTAGCGTTTTCAATGCATTCTTGCCGGCCATCCTATCCATGTCCTTAGGATCAACCTCTCCATCGTAGCCGTCTTTCAGCTTCTTGAGATCCATCTTCTTGGTATCCTCAACCCATTGCTGGAAGAAGCGGCTCACATTTTCCTCGTAGGAAGCGCCTCCAAAATTCGGAATCTTCTCAATGACGGAGGCCAGCTTCATGAACATGAGCTTTTGCTCTGCTCTGTGACCCTCGTCGACAAAGGCCACGTGGTAGCGGCACCTGCAATCCTTTGGCATGCAGCCGATGGCACCCACGATATTCCGCAAAACTGTGCACTTGTTCTCTCCGGCACTCGGAATGGTAACGACGATGTACCGCAGCTGGGACGTGAGATCGGGATCGTATCGTCGGAAGTGGGGGTACGGCGAAAACACCCCGGGACAAAGCATGACTGCCTTCACCCCGAAGCCGATCAGAAGCACGTAGCAGAAGAGCCAAACGGGAGCTGTCTGGTTCTTCTGGTAGCCCACGTATCCAACCAAGGAGGTTTGAAGAATATGACCATCCTGACTGCATGCTAGTGAGGAGTAAAGGCTCCCTTTTAAATCCGCACTGAACGTTGAAACTAGATTCAACCGCGAAAGGCAGTGAAACTATGGCCAAGCCACAGCCGTGCAGTTTGCCATAGGCGTTTGGTCTGGTTGACATGCATGTGCACAACGGCCTGACACGGCAACGCAACGGTCGTTGAAAGGCGGAGGAGCCGCTTGCTGACCAGCTTTGAAGTTCGTAAAGCCACCCTCATAGAGAGTGCTGTTTACAGCACATGCCACCAGGTAGAGTGGCCCTTGCCGGCCGTAGCACCAACCAGGTTCGACCTCCAAGCGGTTCTGCTGGTTCAGGGACATGGCATGCTTGCTAACCGGGTCCTGCACTGGGGCAAGTTCCTCATCGTATGAGTCCGACTCTTTCTCCTTGACCAAAGGCTTGCCGTCCTTGCCCACGACAATCGGAGGCTGTGTCATGCCGTAGTCGTTCTTGTAGAGCTTCCGCCAGGTCCCACGCTGATCCCTGGAGGATTGCAAGACGAAGATGCGAGGCTGGCTGAAGACATCCGTGCCTTCGGGGATCGTTGCGCCAGTGACGGTGATGTGGAAACGTGGCAAGGACGTGTAGATCGTGGGTGTCTTCGCGGTCGACGAGTCACTGTCTCCCCCGATGACGCCTGGTAGTCCACCATCACTTCCTCCAATTCCTGCGGCGGACTAGATGGCATGCCTGCTTCTATTAGGGATTATTAGGGCCCAAATGCTGTACAAGTAGGATGTTGTTTCCAGAGCTCCTGGGAGTGGGCTGTCAGGATCGTCCATACCTGGCAATCCCGAAGGCAAACCACCAATTCCTGGAATGATCTGCAGACGCCGTCGCATGTCATCCTCTGTCCGGGGGTCGTACAAGCACTTGTGGCATTTCCACTGCTTGAACTTCTCGGTTGCAGTCTCGCACTTGCCTGCTGTATTGCCTTTCAAACACTCTCTCATCTCCACGTTGCCTTGAAACTCTGCCGAAGGAATCTCGCGTCCAGCCACGGAGGATGATGTCATCTTAATGGTGCTGTCTGCTGTGCATCCCTCTAGCAAGTCAGAGTTGACCACAGAGTCACATGTCCAGCCGCACACACCACCTGCCGTGTAGCAGTACTGGCCGAGGTCTGCATCGTCCAGCTGGGATTTCGCTTCCAGTTCAGCAAAGCTTGTCGGGCTCCAGACCACACACGCCAAGACATAGACTCCGGAGTTTGCTTCGCGCGTGACCTTGTCGCCTGCTGGCGGACTGATGCAAGTGTCGGTCGTGTATGTGTACGCGTGTCCGGTTTTGTCTGTTTTGGCACGCCAGAATGGTGCCGGGTAGGCAAACCGCCTGTCTGCCACTACCCACCAATCGTGGAAGTCTGCACTTGCCAGCAAAACGGGGTAGATGGTGTGCACGTAGCCCCGGGAGAGAACAGAGTCGTTGACGGTGAGGCTGACACGGAAGTTCATTTCGTTGGTTCGGTAGCCACGCCATGAGGAACAGCTGAAATTGCAACTGTCTGATTGAGTCGGGATGGGCGACATCTCGATCGGGTATGTCACAAGGCTGTCATTGGCGAGCTCTTGTCCGCCAACTGCTTGAATGGAGGGCCACTTGGGGTACTGCTCATGCCAATACTGCGTGGGCATTGGATTTGTCACAAGCCACTTTGTCCAAAGAGGGAAGATCACCATGAACATCAGGAACTGGCAAACATAGCAGCAATGGCAACAACAAGCAGCGGTGAGAGGTGGCCGGCATCCGCCTGAAAAGTTCAGCAACAGCAACAGCACTTGACTTTCCGGTCAGTAGACCTGAGGCTGCAGCGAGATTTCTTCATCGCTTTCTCATCAAAACCACCGTCCGTGCTGTCGTCTTCTTCACTGTCCATCTGCGAGGTCGCCACATCCACGTCAGTGGATGAGCCTAGGCATGTGATTTCGTGTCACTCCGTCGCTGGAAGTTTCCCAGGCAAAGCTAGGCCCACTGCCGTCATATCCATAAGCATAGCCTTAGCTCTTTGAGCGCACATGCCCAGAGCAAGGACAGACCACCGCCGCAGGATAACTAGATATAACTAGGAGGACAGACGAGACTAGGTTCGAGGCGGGAGTCTCCCGCAGCACAAGTTCCTGTTTCGGTTGGTTTTCCAGAAATACGGTCGACAGCAGCTTCTGCTTGAGTCTGCTTCCTAAACCCGCATGGTCCGCCTACTTGGAAAACGGAAACAAATCGGTGACCACGACTTGATGGAATAATCTGGATAATCTAGACACAGTACGACCTCTTGAACTAAGGAGAAAGTAAGAATTTTGCCAAAAACTGGTGAGACAATTGCTTCCCACATCTTAACGAACCAGTGCTCAACAGTAGTTCACCATCTTCGTCAATTGCGTCCTAGTGACTCAGCGACCGACAGATATTCCCCACTGTAACAGTACCTCCAACCGGCTGGACCAATCAAAGCCTCTAGATTACTCGAATCAGACATGCACCTGGCTGATTTGAGCGCTTTGGGCCGCACATGGCCAAAATGCTAAAGCGCTCGCAAGGTAAACTTACAACCTTCCAGAAGGCTGGGTCGAAGTTCCGAAACCATTTGGGCTGCTTAAGCATCTAGACGACTTGGCTGGTCTCGTTTCACTTCTGACAAGCTTTGTCTCATTGCTTTGACTTGTTCAGTGTTGTCCGACCCGTTATCGAACACATCTAGATCTTTCTGTCCTTACACCCATTTCTCGATTTGTACACATACTATACCCTACCTCCCCCTATGTCTTATCAGTTTGAAACCAAGAGAGCTTTCTGTTGCAACCGGGATGCCACCACTCATGAGATGCTCGCGCTGTTCACGAGAGGCCATGACTCTGATGTCTGCCTGACTCATAACCCAGTTGAACTCCGGCAGTCGGTTCATGCAGCGATGTAGAGTTACTACGAAACGCGGTCAAGAGAGTAGTAAACCAGTGAATCTACCCATCTGCACCGGTCCTGCAGCAAAGACGCAGTTGAACTTGCGCCTCAGGCTTCTTTCTGCATACTGGTACTGCCAGGCTCGAAAGGACTTGCAAATCCAAGCAGCCGATCGGCTGGAAAAGGAGCCCTTCCAAACACGTTCACTTGAGTGGAAGCGGCTGCAGCGGCTGCAGCTAGCTGTCTGCAAACTTGAAATTTGCGGTTACGACAATACCCCAAGCAGCTCGTTCTCAAACAGGCTGAACAGCAAGCATCAAAATTCCCGGCCTCTATCGCTGCGACCAGGAAGTTTGAATGGACGAGATTCCGACACCAACACCCCCCCAAGGCATAGCTGCGCGCTGGTGACCCTTGTTCTTGGGAGTGTGGGCCTTGGCGACGAAAACATCAGGAGTCGACTCAATGCATAAGCCATGGGTAGACAGTATGCAAAGAAATCATCTTGCCCGCCCGATGCTGCAGCCACTCTGCTTCAATGCTCTGCACAATTCTGCCCACGGATCCCCGCTGCGTAGCCTGGCACCAAGGTTTTTCAAGCTGTCTGTCTACGCATGCGGAAAGCATGCTCACGTTTCGTGAGGCCTTCGAACCGGTGCCAAGGCCCGAATTCGTCAAAGAGGCTGTGACCCTGTCTGCCACCAATTGGTTGCTGCAGAAGACTTCGGATTGAGTTAGTATGAAAACGAAGCAATCTAAGGATTGAGCGCAACAGCAGCTTCCGTCGACGTCCGAGTTGCTCCCTCTTCCACAGTGTTCTTAATGGATTTCCTGAAATGACGTCGTTCGCTCCGATCGATCATAATTGCGCCCAGGCGGCTTCATGACAACAAGCAGAACTTTGACGTGAACACCTGCCTAGAGGTCATAGCCGACAGTGGAGCTGTGAATGCTGCAGGAGCAGGACCTTCACCTTCTTCCTGCGAGATCGACGCCGCAGTGGACTGCAGAATCTAATGCCGGCATTCACATGCATTGACAAAAAGACGTGGTTGGAGCGGATCAGCAAACGCGGCTGTGTTACAAGCGTGGAGCTGTCCTCTTCGTAGTAGATCTCCTCAATCTGTGTTGTCTCCTGGTCCCCCAAATATGCCGTTGCGCCCGGCCCAGCCAGCTTCTTCGAACTCCTGCACAACTCATCACACATTGCGCTAGAGCCCATTACGCACATGGTACGCAGCATCTGCAGACTGACCGTGAATTTCCTCAAATTGCACGCAATCGTACGCATAAGTACAAGCCGAGTTTCGTCTTGATCCTGGTTTCTTTGGTATGAGAGTGCGTGTGCCTGAGCTGTCGAAAGGTGAGCATGGCAATTGAAATTGCCGACAACCTGACAAAATACCCATTGGAAAGCTCGATTCGATCTTCCGGTGCCAAACCGAGCTGCGTGTGAGAATGCGTGTGAGAGGTGGTGTGGGAGTGCGTGTGCTTCTCCACCACCTCAGCTACTGCATTCTTCGAACTCCACTAACGAGCGCGCACCATCGCGGGCCTGTGCTCGAAAGACTGGCCTGCTTATCACAGGGTCTATGAGATGCTTTTGCGAATCCCACTGCCTGAAGCGATTCCGAATGTGCCAATGCCAATCGCCAAATTCAGCGAGGAAAACATTGATTGCGTTGCGCATCGTTTTGCTGCGCGGGCCTGGGCCCTTGCGGCCACCATATTTATGTACACCAGGCTCCGCCATCTGTGAAACTTGAGCCGGAGGCATGCCCGAGGACTACGACAGGAGGTCGCGAATCTTGCTGTTCTGCTCCAGGTCCTGAAGAACAGCCTTCAGCGCAAGGTCATGGGCACTCCGCGTTGAACTACTGAAACAAAGGCGTTCCAAAAGAGCCTGCCGCTCCATCTCGCGCACGCAAACATGTGCGCAGTTCTCGGCGGCCTGGTGGAGCTGAAGCAAAAGGCACATTCTCAGAGCCTTCTTCTTTCTTCTGGCCTCGGCCAGCTCGGCCTCCAACCTGTCACAAAGATCTCTTTGCTTCGGATTAGATTCTGCTGTCCCCGGCCTCAGCTGAACGGAGCGTGCCAAGCCTGGGACACAGCAAACACTTGCATATCTAGTTGTGAGCAGGAAGCCCGGACCCTTTGCTGGGCAAGAGCATCTCGACGCAAACGGTTCGACTCATGCATCCACGACGGGGCACCAGGCTTAATGGGGTGGAACCACTTTCGTCTGTTCCGTCACGGTCAGCGCCTCCATTCAAAAGGACCTGCATAGACAAGCTGGAGGTTCCCAGTCTCGGTAACGGGCAGACTGCACCTCAACCATCTTGCAGTTGTTCAAACAGACTGCCTGCAAAGCATAGATCGACAGAAGCTTACTGGCTGCTGGTCTCTCTAGCTTGAACCTTCGTTGATACAGTTGTTTTCTTCTTCTTCTTCAGAGGTGGCGCTTCCGCTTGCTCTTGCTGTTGCTGTCGCTTTAGCTGCAGCCGTTGCTCTCGCTCGTTGCACACGCCAGCTGGTGAAATCTCAACATTCCATGTCTGATACACGACTTAGACATCTCAATGGGATTCACCAGGATGTCTCGAGTAGATCCTTCGCGTCTAAACGTCTAACCGCCATTAGTCTCACCCTTCCCTCGTTCCACGAGGTATAAGGCTGGAGTAACCCAGACCGGTCGTCTGACCTTCCTTCCTTCCTTCGCAGCCTTGGATCCTTCGCGGTTTATCGCTCAGTCCGTGCACCTCAAAATTTCCATGCATCAATGACGTGGCTGGCACGTGCCTGGTGCAAGGCCGTGAAGCTGAAGTCTGAGCCGGACCAATTCACATCAGCCTGCGAGGAAAACGTTTCTTCTTGCAGTTTCTGGCCAAGCCCTTACGCAAAAAACACACGCACACACACACACACACACACACACACACTCACACTCACAGTCACACTCACACTCATGCACGCACTTGCCGTGGCCTGAGCAGCAAGCAGCACCTGCCACGGCTGCTACGGCCACGGAGCTACCATCCACAAGGCAGGCGACAGACGGCAGGCCCGAGGACCTGGGCTATCTGCGGATCGTCAAGGCCGGCGGCCCTGTAAAGTGGCGTCTCCCCCGCCTCCCCCTCCTCTCCACGCTCCTCGGGAGCACGGTGAAACCAACATGCCAGGGATACCAGGCTTGCCATGACTGTTCTCCCTTCGCTCGGGTTGTGTTCTGATCAATCATACTCCTCGTTGACATTGGCACCACCGCTCAGGAGCTGCTTCACCTAGCAGCTAGCAGATTGCAACTCCGGACCCAGCAAAGCTGCCGCTGAACGGCTTCCACATTCAGCTTGGGTCCTGTTCGTCTGTCTGTGTCGCTTTACCTGCTTCACTCAGGCAGGCACCAATCCAACATCTCCACCTGCTACGGCAGAATGAAGGCAGGGTGCTGCAGGCACGGCATCTGGGGCATAGCTGTGGTAGCCCTTGCTGTCCATTCCGACATGTGATGTCCGCTAGCCTTGGAGGTGCTGCATGCACGTTGGTAACAATGGAGATGGATTCTGCTGACGCCAAGTGATGCCTTCCGCTCTTGTCTTGCAGGTGCTCACTTGCAGCTCACTTGAGGTTCAAGTGCTGTTGTCTCTTGAAAACAAGCTGAGAGCCGACTGTCAGGTCGCAGTGCAAATCAGGCAACTATCTCTCTGCCAAGCACTTCTAATTAACCTGCGTGGACGAATGATGCCCCTGCCACAAGATGGCCTGAGGCTGGCACTTTCGTCCTGCTGAGAAAGAACACAAACAGAGTTGCGCGGAGACCTATCTGAATCTAGGGTCAGTCCTGATGCCCGGCTCGTCGTCCACCTTCTCGGAGAGCGCCATAGAGCCGTCTCTGACGGACAAAGCCATGGATGGAGTCTTGGCCAACACCGTAGAGCCTTCCCGTGCCCTGACCGACAATGCCAAGGACGGTTGCCGAGAATCGGCCTCTGCTGAGAACTGTATAGCATCGTCGTCATCGTCTGCCAGGTCGTGAACTTCTGGCGCCGTCTTGGACGATCCCCTGCTCTTGACTGCCACCAGACCGGAGAAGGTCGTCGATGGTTGTTTTCGTCGAGGGTTTGAAGTCTCGGGTCCGTCCGCGAGAGCTTTGGAATCAGCTCTGCTGGAGAGCGTTTTGGAAGCTGGCCTTGATGCTGGTGGGGAGTCCAATCGTTCTGACAATGACACCGAGCTCTGCGGCGATGAAACCTGTATCCAACGAGGTGTGGTCGCAGACTGAGCTGCGGATGATGGAGCTTTCTGTGACTTGGACTTGGAAACCATGGTCAGCTTCTGGGACTTTGCGCCATTCCTGGGGGGCGAGTCAAGCCGAGCTGCTCGACTGAGACGCTGCGAGCCAGTCAGTGGAGAACCCAAGAATTGCGTTGGCATCCTGACAGGGCTCAGGGCACTGAAACTCTGCTAGGACAACTTGAGTGCATTGCGAAGCTGCCTGGGGCCCATGAGCTTTGTGCTACCTCCGAACCTGCGCAGCAGCTCCCAAAGCTCACAGAGTCACTTGCAAGAGAGGCAGAATGCCGGAGTAACTGGAGACACCAATAATATCGTTGCCCAGCTACCCTGGCCGATTCCAGTCGCGGTCGTACAGGCTGCCGGCTTGGGTATCCCGAACCTAATGCGGCTCGAAGTGGCAAACCACGGAAAACCGCGTGCACGCATGTGACAAGGGCGGTGCATCTTGCAGCAGCCCATTGAAAGCCGATGCCTAAGTCAAATCTTTGCCTACTGACTACTGGTGCCTACCGCCTACTATCAATCGCGTGGAGAAGCTGGGCATGGCATCCAAGACCCACGCAACCTCAACAGCACGTCTGACTTTGCGCCAATTGGGCCCATATCCACCCTCGTCACCACCTTCCCAGCAGATTGGCAGAAGAATCCAGCGGGGTAAACATTCCCAAAGCACAGGGACGGAGTCCTGCCTGCCAAAGATCTGTCCTCTTCTTCGTCCTCACTGTTCGGCCTCTACGCATGTTGGGGACTCATTTACTTGGAACTATGAAACCTAGCTCCGACAGTGCAAGCACAAATACCACGATATGGAGATGCTAGAATGATAGAATGACGAGCGTATGTATGTGCTCGCATGGCCGTGTCAGCGGGCAGCCGACCCCGATTTTGATGCGGAAACGCTGCTTACTCAAGTTCTTCAGTCATTCAAGAAACTCATCGCACAAAACCGTACTTTTGCTTAAGGTCAAACATGGTTATGCATAATGGAGTTGCCGTATTGTTTCCATAGCATCCAAGCCTGTCCTGTTGTTTGAACGCAACAGGAGCTCTGTTGTATTTGAAGCAGGGAAGCAGACAGTGCATGCAAAATATCGTGAAGTCGTTCTGGCTTCAGCTATTGTGAGGGCCCATCACCGTGTTACGATTGAATCATTGCCGCAGTCTTGCCGCAGTCTTGCTCTAGCACGCGAAAAATGTTCATGGTTCTGTCCCAGAGCCGTTTTCTTGTTCGGGATGAAGCGAAGAGGAGCTGTTTTGTTTGTAATGCAGAGAGCGATCAGCTTGATATACTTTTCGTTCTAGTGGTGAGAAACGGCACGTGATTCGCTCCGAAGCGCAAAAGGGCACGGCCAAGCTCGCATACTTCTTCCCGACATTGAGAGGCCCCATCTCATTTTTCAGAAGCAAAAGATCTTTGTGGTTCCTGCTTTCTTCACACGTACCGGTGTCTTTCTACACCTAGAATCTAGAAGAATGCAAACGACATGGATGCACACATACGTATATATGTACATATACAGACATTATGTTCGTGTGGGTGGGCGATTCATGTATGTATGCACGTGTGTGCGTGTGTGGGCATGTGTGTATCTGTGTATGTGTGTATGCATGCATGTATGCATGTATGCATGTACATATGTATGCATGTATGCAAGTGTGCAGATATGCATGTGTGAGTGCATGCATGTATGCATGTACGCATGATGCCTCCGTCCAACCTGAAATCTACGCAATATAACATACCGGCTGAAACAAGACGGAACTTAAACAACTGGATATCCCACTGGCTGCAGGCTGGGCTCTTATCCTCGATTTCGGATCCTCTGATCTGGCCTTCCTTCAGCATCCCCTGACACAAGACGGAATTTGCAGCCTGCAGCCTGTGCAACGTCATGCCGCAACCTCGCCTCGAGTATATTGACAACCCCACGAGACGAAAGCTGGTCGCCACCTGCGTGCAATCTCGGCTGGGTGCCCTGGTCGGCTTCAACTCTGGCAGACAACACGGAGTGGGAGCAAGTGCTTTTGAACGCAGCTTGCTACCCAAACTGTGCGATCTTTCCCGGCTCGCAAAGCCACCTGCTCAACAGGGAGGGATAACATGACAAATCAAGACACTGTATCACCACTGCCTGCAACAAACATCCTCGTAGCACGCAACTGGCTACACGCTACACGGGCGGTACTGCTACAAAACTCACAGGCCAAGGCCTACTTACCTCCATATTCAGAGGAGATACATGAGATCGCATTTGCGGGTCTTCAATTCTGGATGATATCGCTCCATCAGAAGCTTGGAATACTTGAACCTCGCCAGAATCACATCTGCAAGAACATTCTCATTTGTATTGTCAGCATAAAACACATCCCCTGTCGTAGCTGAGTGTCGGCAGCTTGTTCGTACAGCGAGATGAGCCGTAAAGCGCAACATATCGGTCCAAGTTGTAGCACAGCCTCTCGTGTGTGGTCACGGCCATAGCAACCGCTGCTTTCTTCCGAATTTGCACTATCTAGAATCTAGAAACGGCAGGTCAGCAGACCTCAGGTTCAAGGAGCCGAGCGAAAGTGGTTCTGCACAGGCCAGGTGGCTGGCAGTTGGGGTCTCTGCCTCTGTACTGCACCTTGGAAGACTCCCTCAACCAGAAAGCGCCTATCGAGTCAGAATCTTTGGCGCAGACCGGTTGCTCCTTGACAAGATGCTGGTCCTCCTTCCTCGGTTCAGAGCTTCCGGAAAGAGGCAAAAGCCAGCTCTGGGGGAAGCCCGCCTCATCTTCAATTCATAGGTCGGCTTGCCCACTGGTCCCGAGTAGTGCCGGAACGCTGCATCTTTGGGACCCGCAAGAGGGATGTCCTGGCTTGCTTGACGGGTCAATCATCCATCTTCGTGGCGACATTCGGTCACACCATGAAACCCTCGGAGCAATCTCCTTGTCGTTGTGCATCTGTGCAGCTTCTTCCCATGGCATGATGGTCCATCCTCGAGCTGCCAACGCGTACTGGAGAGCAAAGTCTGACGAGTAGATCTCTTTCGAAAATTTTTCTCCCAGGTAGTTCCTCGGCTGCAACAGTCGGCTGAGCCTCAAAATGCATCAAAATGCCATGGTCCAGCAGCCTATAGCAGTTGGCAAGCTTCCAATCAATCTCCGCAACACGCTCATCTGAAAACGCATCCAGTATAGCCTCTCGTCTGTAATAAGATCCTCCACACAAGCCGGCCTGCCGGTTTTGCTCTGGTTATTGCAGCGACTTGCAAATTTGCTGAACTTCTAAGGCGTTGGCCTGCTGATTCTTTTTGCGCCACCTCTGGGGACGGCATTATGTTTCACATCAAGGCTGGGGGAAGAGGGTACTCTAGCGGCTCTTGAATCTGAGTAGAGGGAGCAAGAGGCAGGGCAGGAGAAGGAGGAGAGTTCGAATCCCCCAGGTTGGTGTCAAGCGAAGTGTCTTGATCATGTGACAGCTTTTGGCCGAGAAACTTGTACCCATCCACGCGTTTCTTGGCGAGCTTCTCCACCTCATTTTTTGGTTTTTGGTGCAGGCGCACACTCGTGCGTCATCGTTGAACACTCATGACTGGAAGCAGTAACAGCCCTCCTCCGCAGCAGCTTCTGCGAAAATCTGTGTGACTTGGCGCCAGGCATAGTCAGCACCTGCGAAACTGCGATCCCTCACCAGCACTCCTCCCGCGTCGTACTTGGGCGGCTCCTTTATTGGACCATGAATCCTTGGCTGGGTGGTGCGCAGCCGTGTCCTCTCTTAAAGTGACTCTTGCTGGGTTTGTTTTGTCTCTCCGTCTTGTTCCAAACAGCAAAAACAAGACACACACCCCACCACTCGTTCAGAATCTCGGTTTTTGCTTTTTTTGGTGAACATACGGATTCTGCATCTGCTTTTGCACATCTAGCTTCAGCATTTCCGAAAGCTCTTGCGAATCTGTTTTTGCACTTGCTTGACAAAAAAAATTACAAATCTTCGGCACAAGAGCAAAACCAAAAGACTCAAACAAAGAACTGTCTGATGGCCCTGCAGGTTGCTGTGCACCGAACATGCGAAAGCCCGATCCACCGCCGGCGTGTTGCGAAGCTGCGATCCTTGGCGAAAATGAAAGCTCGTCTCAGGGCAGATAATCCAAACCGCCACCGACCACTTGGGTGTCCCGTTTCGGCCCCGAAATCCATGAATATCCTACCGCTGCAAATCTGCTCTCCCGGATTGTCGAACCGACACCTGAAGGCGCAGGGCATGCCTGCAGAATCGTAGGTTTGCACAATGTGGGCCAAGTCAGGAGATGGCCGGCCCTGTGAGGAACCGAGTGAGGCGATGCTTCCATTTCAAAGGATGGTAGTGGCAGCCAGGCAGGGGGACCTGGTAGACATGCAAATAACCTGGATCCAGATCAGCAGGTCCTGACCAGAAGGAGAAAGAACGTTTTGGCCCCCGCACTCGACAAGCAGGTGCGGTAACAGGGGAAAGGAGACCAAGTAACCTGGCACACAGCGATGAAACTCATTGGCTTCACTCAGTCAGACCTCAACAGCTATCAGCCGGACCAGACGAGCCGGCCACACGCATCCCCAACCAGCACATTATCCAGCTGGCTGACGGCTATCCTATTCGTACGCTTTACCGCAGATCCCCTCCTCGACAGCATTTCCACCACCAGATGACAGAACAGACTGCTGCGAAGTTCGGGAACGACGGCAGGAACATTTTGGCGAGCAGTGGCCAACACCAACGAGCTCACAATTATCCCAGGTTGGTCGCAACCGCAACGGTTCATCAAACCCTCTAACACACCACCGTCAGCATATTCCATTGCCTTCACCGGTAAAGCATTGCCGGTCCTTTGGACCAAAACTTGCACTTGGCGCTGTGAACCTCCTCACCGGTACATCTTACCCGTTTCTCGTCGGAAGATTTGCCCGGACCAAGCTTGTCAACTTAGCTCTTCAGAAGCTTGAGACGTTTCCATCCGAGCAAGCTGTTGAGTCTACACACAGAAAACGCACGCACTTTTCGTTGGACTGCTCGGTTCACTGACTCTCCGCTCGGCAGGGGCATGTGGCTCCTTCTTTCTCCCTTTTGAAAGCACCAGCACGGACTCGACCATATCGCCAAAACTGGCCCAATTAGCAGTCTGGCCACAAGAAGACGTGCTCACTGGAGCTCTGTGCGGGGCGTCATGCCTGAAACTCGCGAGCGGCGCCTTTTTTGGGCTTCGCCTACACGGAGCCCGACCTCCTGATCTAAGTCTTGGGATACCGCCAAAGTGGCTCCACTTTGCAGCAAGCTTGCTGCTCCCAACATATTGCATTGCAGATGCTAGCCCATCTCCCAACGCCAACAATTCTCCCTTCTGCGTTGGGTCCATTTTTTCACCCCACATGCAATAGCAAATGGTGAAGTAAAGGTAGGTTTTACCACCCCACTTCTCTTTTGCGTTCTGTTGTCCTACATGTTTTGTTGTTCAAGAGTCTCGCCATGTTTCCTTCCCACAGCTGTATTTGCTGCATGCTGCATGCGGTACAACCTAAGGTCCCGTCATGAAAGCTACACCCGCCGGATCAACATGTAACACTTATCATCAGCACCTGCAGCGGTTTACACATGATCGATTGCCATCCTTTCGAATCCATTTCCCTGAAACTCTCCTGCGCGAACAAATAGCTTCACTCAGAAGCTCACAATTCTGCAGTCACAAGTCTATACCGGGTTCAGGCTGGCGGCGTGTTGTCGGGCTCCAACATGATGACAAACTCCGTGTTTAGAGCCTCTGCTGCATCGTACAGCCTGCTGGGGGCAAATGGGATGAGCTCCCGGCTGTCGTTTATGGAAACCCTGCCTCCGAAAGAATGGCCACGGGTGCCAGCGATCGTTCGCAGGGGGGCAAACAGTCGCGGTACAACCTTCGGGAGTTACCAGCAAGGCATCAACAGAGTCTGGTGCAGGTACTCGCAGGTCATTATCATTATCGTTTCACAGGAAGGTCATTGTCGTTGCAGGCTCGGCGTTCCCTGAGAGTATGTCTATCTGCTATCTTCACTGCCAGATCAATCGTAGCGGACATGACTGTAGTTCAGGCTTGCTCTCTCAGGTGGACTTCGCGTGTTCCAGTGATTTTTACCTGCACTTTCTCCCCGCGACGAACCTATGGCCCCTCTAGTACACCATTTGTTGGGCAACTGCTGGCCTGTTTGATTGCACAAAGGACCGAAGTCAAGGCCACCATCGCCTCAGAACGTGTTCGGCATACATAGCGTCATAGAGGTTCAAGCCCCATGACACTCTGCAGGAATGTTGACAAGCGGCTCATGATGTATATGGGTGACGTCGGAAACACTTCCTTGAGTTTCCGCACCTGGCACTAGCCGTCACTGGCATACAGCCATCATCAAAAGGTAGATCCGCACCCGGACTCTGTTTTGGGCAGGCAAAGGCGGAGGTGGTCGCGGTGCTTGGTTGCGATGTTAAACCAATTTGCGTGTGGAAAGGCTAGCTACTTGCAAGGATGAACGAACACAGTGTGGTGTTTTTACTCAAGGCAACTGACCACATGCTCACCTAGCAAGAAAGCGCTTCACCAGAGATATCGGTTGTGCGGAGTGTGGTGGTCCCAAAATTCTGGAGGAGTGGGCTACTTACACTTCGCAACTGCGGACGACGCGGCCTGGTAGAGAACTGCCGCAGGAGAGTGGAACACGTGCAGGTAGAAGCCATATTTCTCGACTTGGAACCGCAGGGGGACACGGTGCAACCGAATTTCTCACTTCTGAACAGCAACTACAGCACCTGACAGGCAGCTGAGGCCATCTCCGACCCCAGCGGTGCTGGCAAGACTGGCGAAATCAGATCTACCTGCCCGACAACTGTGTTAATCCTGAATCCTGCTCGCAGATACCAGTAACAGTTCAACAGTATCGCTCTTTCTCGGGCCTGGAGCTGATGCAAAGCGTCGAACTCTCTTTCCCGGCTCACCTAAGCAGCGCAGCTCAGCAAAAGCTGACACTCGCGCCCGCGTCTCGGCCGAGTCGCAGAGGCTCTGAAGGTCGGTCTCGCATTTTTCGCCCTTCGCCAGCTGCGGATGGTAGAGCTCGATTAAGCGATCAGAATACCTGGCAAGAGAAGCGCAGCGCAGAAACCCTCGTATGACTTTAAACATCCCGTGGGGTGGCAGTAGCTTCGGCCGAGAATCTCGAAAGCCTGTTTGTTTGTACATCGGTCCGTTCCCCATCGCACAGCGTAACGCTCGAAGCTGTAACCTTTGCATGGTTCGGACAGGCAAAAGCGTAGTGGCGCAGCTGACAGTTACGAGACCACTCATACAGCACACCGGTTCTCTGCCTATGCCATTCCGCCATGCCGCACACTTGACAAGTCACATCCTTTCCCTGCAAATGGTGCACATGCCACCAATTTATGCTGGGCTCAGACGATGCAGCAGATTTGGTGCCCCACGGCCTGGTACTCAGAAGACTCGCTGTACAGTTTTGCATCCTCCGGCTTCAATTGCACCTCCTCAGCTGAACATGTCTGGGCAAAGTAATTATTCGAGCAGCCGTTGTTTTAAGGCCGTTGCGTATGTCGGGTTTCCTCCACTGCCAGAGTGGAGAAGGAATGCTGCATCTTGGTTTCTGTCCTGCTAGAAACTCAAGGACAGGTTGGAAAAGAGAGGCTTGGAATGCAGTCTGTCTTGTCCTCGTGCATTTGGACTTCAGTCCATGGCATAACAGCCCAGCCACGTGCTGCAAGAGCATACCTCACACTAAACACGGCCACAAATACGCCGGGGGTAGCGGAGCTACCGGCAGTCCGGGTGCTGCATTGCGAAGTCGTAGGAGAAGATCTCCTCCAAACACGACTGATACCATCTGACACCGACTGGCGCCGTGCACTCTGAGCTCTTTTTGCATCAGGACTTGTGCAATCGCCTGAACACATGGACGGAAGGTCAGCACTCTGAGCTCTACTCAGGCAAACCCTGCGCCGAGTCTGCACGTGGACTTTTTCAAGCACTGCACTGGGAGCTTGTCCGCTGCAGCACGGAACTTTGCAGCCAGGACCGGTCCAGCATTGAAGTTCAGTCCTCCCGTGGCCGCTCACAGCTGCGTCTCAAGGGCTTAGGGAAGTTTTGAAGCGGCGGGCCTTCTGCACTGTCGCCCAGCGGCCAAGGAGCGCTTCCATGTCCTCTGAGTCGCTCTCGGAGGCCTCTTCCTCTCCCAGTCGCCGACGCTTCTCGCGGCGTTCCTCGGTTTGGGTCAGACTCACGCCAGGGGCCAAGACAACGCCGCTCTGCAGGTACAGAGCGGCGTGAAGAAACATGCAATGCCAAAGGGAGGGACCCCGACATCCAGGGCTGCGGCTGGTACCCCCACCCACACACACACAGCCAAACACCAACAAATAGACAGACAGGCAGCCGGAAGGCATAATCTCGAGACAAGCCAACAGCACCGAAACAACAAACACCAGCTTATTGGCTTATTGTTGTCAAGACCAGTACAACCACCAGGAGTCGTCCTCCTCGGCACGCAAGGCCTCCGGAGCGTATGCTTCGCCCAGGGACCATGCCCTCTCGCCGCCGTAGAATTGCACAAACAAAGCGTTGATCTTGAACTTCTCGGTTTCTGGCATCGCATTCCTTGGTTGTTTTGCCGCGTCGGACTTACCCCCCCTTACCACCCAATCGACCCGAAAACCCCCAAATTCAAGTCAACTTGATGCCAATAAAGGTCAAGTCACAGTGCGCCTCTGTAGAAGCCAGCGACAGCCCGAGGGGCTTCCAGAGCCAGTTCCTCGGCACGCTTCCGCTCCCGGATTTGGTCCAACTTCAGCGCCATGATTCGCTTCTGCGTGCCGTCTCCGACACACCGAAAGTTTAAGCCCATGTGCTTGCAAATTTGTCGGATGTCTTCTCGCCCGGTGCTGTTCACATCGGTTCCGAAGCCGAGCTCCAACCGCAGCGGGTCTTTCGAAAAAGCCTCCAAGGGCCTCCAGTGCGGTGAGTTCTGCAAGCGATTCCAGCCTCTTTGGTAGGCCATCAACTGATGCAGGAGCTATCGGCTTTCCCATTCAACATGTTTCTGCTCGCTTGAGCCCACTGACAGCGACATCGGTGCATGATCGTCTGCTGTTTGCTCAACTGCTGCGAAGTTTGGGTTAAGTTTCAACAAATGGAAAGCTTGCTCATGCAAATGCTCCTTGCTGAAGTTGTCTGCGAGCATGTTCCAGTCTATCTTCGCAACTTTCTCATCCGCGAATGCGTCCAAGACCGCAGCTCTCCGGAAGCAAGATCCTCCACGAAGGGCAACCTGTCAGTGCGTCTTTCAACAAGACCCACTACATGTGGAGAACCTTGCCAGCTGCCAATTTCGCAGGTGTTTCTCCCAACTTGCATAGCCTGCTGACTGCTGGGGGCCCAGTGGAAATCAGAAACGCGGGCGCGGGCCAGCCGCTCGACCTGACCGGCTTCCACTTCAAGACTTCTCTGCTTCGTGCTTTCTTTGGCTTCCGCAACAGCATAAAACTTAGAGCGAACATGCTCCTGGTACGTAACAAAAAGCCAAGTGCTGTCTGTTCCCCAATTTGGTCCGGAGTCTTGCAACCTGTCGCAGCTTGCCCTATTCTCTTGCTAATCGACAAGAGGAGGGAACCCGGGTTGTTTTTTCCGTCACTTCTCTCTGTTGGGGCGAAAGGATTGGGTGCACGATATGTCCCTTACGTCGGCGTGAGACTGTCGCCACCTGACAACCATGCCTTAACTCAACGCACAAGCCGGATCACAGCCTCGGCTGCACTTACACCCTGCCTCCAGCTCTAAACCGAACCTGTACATCGAACCTCTACACTGCCCGACAGCAGATATCCGGAGCAGCGCCACGTTGTGAGCTGCCTCCTTCCTCCCCCCTCTCCCGCATCTCCTAGACCTTCATGAGCTGCAATTACCTGCTCGGCGCATCAGCTGGCATGCATGGCTGCAACTAAGGCTGTCACATAGTCACTGCCGCCAATTTTTCTGTCCTTCCGCAGGGGCGTGTAAAGAAAAAGGAATCCGAAAAAAAGTCTTCTCCCAGAAGGAAACTCAGCAAGCCATGTAGTTTTTGGTGCACACGAAGCCACCTTCAAAAGGAGGCCCCCCGCATCAAAGTCAGGCTTGTGCCTTACGCTCCCATGAAGCCTTCGTTGAGTTGAAGACTCTGCACATGCCCCATAAACAGACGCTGAAAACTCAAAGAATCCAACAAAAAAGTCGTGCAGGGCCGAGGAACGTGTTGTCAGGTTCCAGAAGTATCACGAATTCGGATTGCAAGTATGTAGCGGCATCGTGCAGCCGTCGCAAGAAGGGCCACCTCGTTGTCGGCCGCGGCAGTAATCTGCTGCGCAACCTCTAGCATGATCCCCGACCTACTAAATTCCTGCAAGTCTCGGATGCCATCGGTCGTTAGCAGGCGGACACATCACAAATTTGCAACCTTCTGCTGCACAAAGTGGTGCAAAGTCCATGTATCCTGGCCAGCGCAGGCTGGTCACGGGAGTGAGTACGTCGGCACCGCAGTGAATCGAAACCAGTGACTGGCGAGGCTCCTTCACTCATCAAATAGATCCTCGAAGCTGCTGCAATAAAAGTAGCAAGACACAGCACCGGAGGCCCAGACTACTACAACTATTTTGGGAAAGCCAGCGTCGGAGATCCGGCAAAAAACTTCTTGACCTCCTTGTGGGGGCAGTCAGTTTTCATCCTCTCTGAGAAATACAGCAGCACGACATACCGTAGGCGCAGATTCTGACCAAGGCTCGCTCACCAAACGAATCACAGCTGCCGGGCGCCCATGAGCGTGTATGTAGAATCCATACCTTTCTCGCTGAATGCGGACACCCACAGCAGGGGAACAGACTCAGACCACGAGGCCATTCGTCTGCAAGGAAGTTGCCAGGATGAGCTGAGGTCTTGGGGGTTCGACGCTGCAGACTTTGGCAGCTCGTGTTCATCTGGCTGTCCTTCGCAGGCCGCAAGGACAGTCGCCTTCACTGCACTGAGTGCCCGGGTCTGGCCGCCTGGCCTTCCGGCAATGAAACGCTTCCGAGCGTAAGCTCGAAGCCCACGTTCGCCAGGAGTGTGGTGCGCTCCCCAGGCTGCCCAACCACGAAAAACACCTCGGGCTGTCATGAACATAGGCCTAGAAACGGCCAGTGACCAGTGCTTGCCACTGCCAAGAATTCTGCAAAGTGTCCACAGCGCCACCCAGAAAGATGCAGAGCCACGTCCGGTAAGGACAGCATTGTCTGCTCGCTTTGCGCCTGACATCGGCCATGACAGAAAGCTTTCCGACTTATGTATTTGGGAGCACGAAATCACGGCATGAACTACAGACTCTGTCATAAGAGGCGAGCGCTGACCAAAACGATTTTCGGATCGAGCACTCGACCCAGGACTGGGACGTGCCTGGCCATCGTCTTGTGAAGTCCACGCGTGCGCCGCGTGTGCAGCAAAGGCCATGGCTCAACTCCCTGGACCTCGGCCTTCCACACGTGCACGGAGCATCATGCACAGTTTCATGGGCCGTTGCCGTATGCTACTATATGCTACGAGTATCTCGTCCTAGAGCATGCCTGGTCAGGAGACTCTCTGCAACGATTTCGGGAAGATACCAGGGGCACATGTCAAAACTTATTCGCCCCTGATGAGATGCTGGAGCCTGGAGCTTACAGTTCGAAGAGATGTGAAGTCTCCGCAAATGCACGGATTGCACGGGCTCTGGACCATCAGCAGCAACAGGAGAGCTTGCCAATGTGTGCGTCCTGAGTGCGGAAGACTTCGACCCATGAGCGGCATGTGACGACGAGGAAGCAAAGCGGAGCTCGCGATCGGAAAGGAGGTGCTGTGCGGCTAGGGGTCCAGTCATCTTCGTACAGCTGCTGGGTGTTGTGCGCACGGACTTGCTGCAGCAGCTGTTCAAAAGCAGCGGCCGTACCTTCGCGAAGAAGAACGAGAGGTGCCTGCTGCACCACATGCCGATATAAGGCCGTTGCCGTATTTCGCGCGTAGCTTTCGCCACCCGGCAGACTGGCCGGGAGAGTCTGGTGAGATCTCCGAGACATCCTGAAGATGTGCTAAGATTAAGATGTGTAGCTGTGCCGTTCTGGCTCTGCCGCTAAGACATCAGTGCCTCCATCTGCATATAAGACCCAATGGAACCGATGGAAACAGCCTGAGACCTGGGACCAGAATATCCAATGGCGGTATGGTTGTTTGCAGTCTTGGCTTTCTCGGGCAAAGGCGGCCAACAACTTCGGGAGCCGTCGCAATCATCATCCTCAACGCCCATCATCACTTCTCGATCGCAATCGTCTACACCTGGCAGAGAGCGATGCGAGCTCCTGAGCTTAGAAACACTTAGCAAGCTGCTCAGCCTGGGCCGTGCTCGTCCACCTGCAAAGCAGGGCACGAGCGCAGAATGACGGAGCGACTCTCCTCGGGGCAGGGCCTGCAACGCACCGGCGGGTGGTGCTTGGAAGAAGCGCTCCTCGGTCAACGTCACCTCCCGTCCTCGCTGCCGCCCTGAAGCAGAGGCACACCAAGGACTTCCCTACGAATTCCTTCAGACAGGAGGCAAGACTTCAAAACCCAGGCCGCATGCTTTTGCATTCCCGCGACTTCGTTCATTGATCCGCCCTCATGCCGAAGCACGAAGCTGTTGACCTGCGGGTTGAGCTGCCATCCCGTTGGCCCTGATGTGGCCTGTCTGCCACCACCTCGACCTTCTCATTGGCATTTGCCGATCCACTTCCTTGGCCTCCCACTTCGATTCTGAGAACGGCAAAGTCACCACCATCGCTCATCATATCAGCTGTTCGCCATGTTCAAAGAAATGTTCCCACGGTTGCCCGGTTCGTCCATCTTGTTCTGCGCACGCTCGCATGACTCCCAGAGCCAGCCCACTGGACTGGTGGCAGACGGGAACATCCTGTCCTGGGACTTCGCAGACCGTGAAAGGATGGCAGGCCAGGCACCAGCAGATACTGTATAACACGTCCGTCCATCTGAGCAGAGAGCATGGGCATCGCAGAGCTCCACGCGGCTGAAGGAAGAGGAATGTAGGGCTGAGGACCATATACTTGGTTCGAGATGCCTGGTATTTGAGTTAATGGTGGTAAAGTGCCCCACTGCATAGTCCCGAGTTCTGGCTTCTCGCCCTCGCTGGCGCTCGGCGAGTTGTACTTCGTGTCACGCTCGCGTCGATTCTGGGCCGGTGGTTCTGGCACCTCTTCCAAAGACCAGAACTCACAAAGCTCAGTTGCAGCGCATCAGACTTGCTGAGGCTGCAGCCTTCGATGCAAGAGGACCTTCCAAAGTACGATTGCCGCCACAGTGCAGCTTGACGTAACTTCGAACCTTCGCTGCCATCGCAAGATGCTGAGGCCTGCAACTGCACGGACAAATGCAGAAAAGCGGCGGCTCGAAGCAACGGCTCCCCATCCAATCCTGAGTCACGACTGGCGCATGGGCCCAGGCTTACCCCAGCAAGCAAGGGCCGAATCCCTCCAAACCAGCCAAGGGGTCTAGCCAGCTGCAGCTTTAAACAGCTCGCGGAGCTCAGCCCCGTTGGGCTCGGCCGATCTTCCTTGGGTGGCACGAACCACGGCTCAACTGTTCAACTACTACCAACATGGTCTGTCAGCCTAGTCCCAATACCTTTGCCTTTGCCCCTTCAGAACCTCTGGTATCCTCTGGTGCATTCGACTACACTCGCGAACTTAGTCGAAGCGAAGCTCCACCATGGCATACCGCGCAAAGTTGTCCAGCTCTGGGAGTGCATTATAGCGTGCCTGAGCTGGTCTGGGTTCCTGGGTCGTGTTGCGTTCAGAATTGAATACAAGCCTGAGGAAATTAATGCTCGACAAGTTGCCGTCAGCTCCTCTCCCGTGGAGATGTCTCGGCTTGCAGTGAGCGAAACTTCCCCCGTGCTTTGGTTGCAGGAGTACTCCACATTGGGTGTGCTGCTATGGTTCACCAGATCGGCAACCGGTGCCACGTGGAGACCACAGTTGGATTGGAAGTTGCTTGTTTCCACAACCAGCCGGCCCCAAAGCACATCTGCGAACTTTAAGTGCTTGTGGCTCTCGCTGTTGTTGTACACTCCCAAAGCGGAGAGCATGCTCGCTCGTGTGCTTCGCACGGACGCGACGATGGGGGCAAACTCAGGGGTTTGGTCAAGCACGCGAAGGGCAGACTCCGAGGCTGCGAGCGGAACTCCGAGGGACTCGAACTCTGCGAGGGAAGGATAAGAGGCGATGGCCGTCCTCACTTTGAGCACAAAGCGCGCACTGCAGATTAATTCAGGACGCTCACGGCTCCACGGCTCACGCTCGATCCCATGACAAGCTGCTGCCAGAAGCGACCTCGGGTACCTCCAGCAGGCCGGACGCGCATCTCGGCCACAACTAGGGCCAGCTTGCACCGGTCATCGCGACAGCCGGCAAAGCGCCTGGCGGCAGAGTGACTTGCTGTCGCCGGTCGCTATGCCACTCTCCGTCAACTGGCGCCTGCCCTCTTCATCCTCAGGGTGGATGACGTGGCTTGGCGGCGCTGCAAAGATCACATCACCCTTCTTCACCGGATGTCGTGGCCGCAATGCTCGGGTCCGGATGCTGCCATGCGTGGTCAAGTCCACTCCTGTGACTGCACATGCTCGGGCAACCGCGGCAAGACTGCAGGACACAGCTGCGTCTCGTGTCCTAGGTCCGGATCGCGACTAGGCTGCCTGAGAGTGGCATGGATCAAACAATGGTTTTCCCTCGTTCTGCCGTGTTCTGAGCCAATCAGGTAAACGTTACCTATATAGGCCAAGTCGCAAAAACTGAAGCAATGTCTGAGCGCCAGCAAGTGCCCCATGTGGCATGCTAACTGTCACATCTGCTTGCGCGCGATGCTGCTTGTTGCCTCCGTACAACACCTTCCGTGATGGTGCCACGGAATGGGGTAAGACGGTTTTCCTATCTCGTCCAGCGGCAGATACTCTTTGAGCAGAACGGCTGCCGACACGCTGTTGAACCCCCTCGCACATGCACTCCCGGGTCAAGATTGAAAGGCGCCTGCGCTGGGATCAAATTGCGGAGACATTGGCGACGATGGGCTTGGGGATTCCGGCTGCTTCTTGGTCAAGCCTGGCCGTGGCTCTCAAAAGCTAGTCAGAGCTACTTGGTGTTTATCGCGTCTTTACCTCAATTTCTCCGTTCCGTCGGGCTCTGACAAGAGCGGGAAGGCGTTACATCTTGATAGACACGGACTCCATCATGACTGGCTCTACCGGTCTATCGCTTTGCGTATAGACCTTAGAGATCTTCACAGCCACATCGTAGCCGTCAACTACTCGACCAAACACTGGATGTCGGGAGTCGCCAGGTGAGAACCAGTCCAAGAAGGTGTTGTCTCTGACCTCGAAAGCAAAGCAAAACGGCAGCGTGGCTTTTCGTCTTTCGCAGCAGGCAGGCAATTCTCCACACGAGTCGGAGAAGCGAAAGCAAATCCCCAATTCACAACGGTACAACCAGAACAACGCTTTTCAGGATGCTCCCCTGCTGCACCCAGCACAGAAACGTCTCCGGGCAAGGTGCGTTGATGAAGAACTGCGACCCGCCGGAATCCGGCTGGCCAGTGTTGGCCATAGACAAAGTGCCCTTGACGTTGCTGTCTTGAGAAACAAACTCGTCCTCAGGAGCTCCAAGCATTGATGCTGCCGGGGATTTTCCACCTAAACCTCGAACAACCCCGAACATGGCATCTTTCACAACTGGTCCTTGATGTTGCCACCTCTGAAACGTTGCTCGGTGATGCCGGTGGCCAGATTTTGGAATGACCCATCTGGTGGCCCGCCCGTGCCTGCGTAAGGACTGAACGGGTCCTGCAACAATGAGTATCGCTGACTGGCTCACGCGATGGCCTCGACTCTCTCTCGCTCTCTCTCTCTCTCTCTCTCTCTCTCTCTCTCTATCTTGCTTGCTTGCTTGCTTGCTTGCTTGCTTGCTTTATCAGGGCTTAAGAGCAATGTTCTATTGCGATGTCTGCAACCCACCTTTTGTATAACATAACCTCCTGACATATAAAACATATCCAAGCAGCTTGCTTGCTTGCTTGCTTGCTTGCCTGCCTGCCTGCCTGCCTGCCTGCCTGCCTGCCCTGCCTGCCTGCCAGCCTGCCAGCCTGCCTGCCTGCCTGCCTGCCTGCCTGCCTGCCTGCCTGCTGCCTGCCTGCCTGCCTGCCTGCCTGCCTGCCTGCCTGCTTGACTGCTGCAGCTCGTGGGCACGCGAAGCGCGCGACTGTCTCTCTCTCGCTCTGTCACGCGGTCTCTATCTTCGCCCGCTCTCTTGAGGTTTGGGCAAAGACCAGCGGCCATGCACGCACGGCCCTAGCCCATCCCCGCCTTGTCAGTCGGCATGGCCCCATTTCGGGGATGGAAGCAGTGTTCCTCCACCGTCTTGTTTGCTGCTTCTTCTGACCAGTTGGAATTGCTTCTGCTCCTGCGACCTGTCTTAAGTTAAGCCCTGAGAACGCTTGAAAACCAGCTCGGGTCCTGGTTTTCAAGACCCCCTGGCCCGAAGGCCTACTCCACGCAACCGTCCGCATCAACAAGGTCTGAAAAGCTCCTTCCGGGGTTGGGAGCGTTTCGTGTTCCCCCGAGCGTGTGTGCAAATTACATCCCAACAACACGCCACCGTCTCTTGCTCTGTCTTTGTGTTCTTACACCAGGCCCTGGAAAACAAGGGGCTGAACCGAGTCAACCCAACCGAAATTCGCAGCAGCCCGATGTGAGCGTTTGCACGTTCCCAGAAGCTGCATACACACGAAAGCATTACACTGCAATGCATGATGCTCATCAAAGGGTAACAAACAAAGAATACAAACCCCTGCCAGCACCTCCGATGCGAAATGCGATGATTTGTGATCGGAAAACTACATGCAGGTGAATCGGTGCCCTGATACATCAACACCTAGTATCGAATCCCTGTCCTATCAGGCCTCCACAACCCTCACAAACAGTAGCAGAAAACAAAGTGGCATGGAAGCATATTCTCTGCGATCTTCTTCAAACGTCTCACTCTCCATATCTCACCCTGTCACACAAGATTCCAAAGCTCCAAAGCTGGGCAAACTCGAGGTCCTTGGCATTGGGGCAACCGAATTGGACCATGAAGTTCGGAATGACTCTGTGAAAATGCACACCATCGTAAAAGCCTGTCTGGGCAAGGTCGATGAAGTTCGAGGCTGTGCGTGGCACCCGGTCCTGTTTGCATCGGTGGCCCCTCCTACCTACCCTCAACCTTGAATCATCGGATGATATCGGCCACACAATGCAAGGCCAACAACAAGCCAAGGAGTCTCAGCAAGGTTGTGCTGTGCGCACGCATGATGACCTCTTACAAGTCCCATGAACTCTTGAAGTAACTCTTGCAAAACAAGCACAAAAACGCTTCAGGTCTCAGGAATTCTGAGGCGATGTTTCTAGAGAGACCAGAGGGGTCTAAAAGGTCATGGGCCTTCTGTACCAGAGCTATGAAAGATCGCTTGGCACGAGAGGCGCAGCGATTGACTCAGGCTCCCCGCTCCCTCCCTAGCCCTATCCCTGCGGGTCCAAGAAGAGCTCAACCTCGATGGTTCCTTTGCTTGTCTTGAGCAGGGCCCTGGGGTTCGGCTTCAGGACACCGAAGGTGGCCTCGAAAGGCTCCTCACCGCGAAGCAGTGCCTTCAGAGCGAGCAGCTCGTAAGGTTTGCCCGCCACGGTCTGGAACACCCACCCTGCTTGCACTCCAGCTTTCTTTGCCGCACCGTCAAAAACCTCCTTCACCAGACCACTCTCTGGATCAATCTCCATTCCCAAGCTGCCCGGCTGCAACGCTACCTCGGTCTCGCGGTTCTTACATCCTCCTTCACGGCCCAAAAACCGCATGGGTTCGAACATCGACTTCGAAGCCCAGGAGCATTTCGCACATCATCGGATAAAGACCCCAGGCCAGGAATGTACCCAGAAGCCGAGGCTGCAAGCCTTGTCTCCGCGCCTGTGCACTGCAGCGCTACAGGACCTACACTGCTGCCGAGAAGCGTATGTAACCGTATGTAAGTCTGAATAATCTTAGCAACCCTGCCAATCCCTTAGCCCACTCCACACCGCCCCCACCCATTAAAACCCTGTGAAAAATGGATTTGGGTCAACGGAGCATCCTGAGCTGCAAGCAAGACTCGCATCTCAGCTAGTAAGCCGCAGTAAGCATCAGTACCCAAAATGCTGTCAATGAGTGAATTCTGGTGCTGCTAGACTTCCCACCATGACCGCCACTACCATCAGTGCTCACCCGGCTCTAGATTCCCTGCAGCACTCGGAGCACAACTACTAGTCACTAGTGCTGCTCTCGGCTCTCTGTTGATGCTACTGGGCAGGAATGACGGTGCTTCGCCAAGCCACGCTTGCATCGTGGCACGCCCACAAAGGAAACGCCATTCAGAACCCAAATTGCGGCAAGAGCCGTCGTGCCAAGTATGAACAGATGTGCACAGCAGCTTTTGTGTTTCCTCGACAATGCCGTGACTTGTGGCGGCCGCCAAACCATGGCTTGCAGACCGCTCTCGCGATGCACAGAGTGGCACATGTACGTGTCCCTGACTGAGCAACTAGCGGTGCCTCAACTAGTCCTCGATGCAGAGAGACCCAACAAGCCTGCACATCGCATCAAGCTTGATGCCTGGTTTGAGCCCATTCCAACGGATAGCAATGGATGCGGCATCATACGGAAACATGTGCGGATGCTATCGTCCCTGACATTCGTGACGAGCCTGGGAAGGCCTCTCCACTCTTTGACATCGCAGCTCCTCGGCGGCCTGAACCTGGGGCAAACATGTATTGCCGAAAGCAGGTCTCGGAAAGTTGCCGCTCGGGCTCAAGCCCAAGCGCATGCTTCCTGCCCGACCTGCTCGGTCACTTCTGCTCGAGTGGGGCATGCCCACAAGGAACTGGGCAGCTTGCTGGGCGGATTCCCTTCGGAACTCCTTGCCGAAGAGGAGGTGGCTCCTCGGAGACAGTTGCTGGAGACAGCTGAAGCATTCTCTGAGCACGAAGTGCATGCGATGTGGGGTGCTACCTGCTCGTTTCGCCCCACGTTCTCCGCGCTCTGATGCTTTCGCAGCTGGCCCTGGCTCAAGCACCGGGTTGGTAGCCGCTGTGTGGTGGCGTGAGGCTGCCGTGGAAGCAGTGCATCTCAGGGTGGAAGCATCTAGCATCGCACTGCCAATTGCAACAGTGAAAAACCTGACGAAGATCGCGGCTTTACAAAATCAAGGCATTGGATCCAAAACTCAGATTGGACATCAAAGACTACCCGAGATCTGCATGTTAGCTGTTCGTGCGCTAGCAGGATATCTGCGGGATGCTAGCAACAGAATAAGAAGGGAGTCTGACCCAAATGCCACTGTCGCATGCAAAAACTTCTTGACATGCAAAGCACGCGGCATGACCAGGCGGCCGAGTGGCCAGCGGCATTATAGCACAACTATCTGTATGGAAACACCAAATCTACTTCTACCTGCCATACCTGCAGTGATGTTGGAGTCTGATGGCCGCAGCGCATGCCCTCGATGACATTAAGTACTGAACCATTGGGTCATGATCGAGTGCTTTCGAGAAGGCAAACAAAACGGTGGGTCCCATACTTACTGGCTGCTGCACCACGCAACATGCAAGTGCACCTGAGGGATTCTTGTCCGTGTCTTGCCTGTCAAAGTCAATCCTCGCAGAACCCGGATATAGAGCTTAAGACTGTATGAAGTGATTTGTCACGCACTTGTCCTGGTAGCAGCATCTGCGAGGCGAACCTGATCATCAGGTGCTGTCGCACATCAACATGTCGGGCGGGCTGCAGCTGCTCTGGAAGCTGAGTGTCCAACACTTTTATGTCGCGGAGGGCCCTCGACGAGCTGGCCATCATCTCGCGTCGCATGCCTTGGTCCCATTCTTCCCAGCTCACTCCAGCGAGTCGACATGGGTGGTGCCTAGCTAGCGACGTGACTACTTCAGCCTCAGCAAGCGGCGCCGCGCTCGTGCCCGAGCTGGTCTTGTCCGATACTTCCCGGCCGCCTTGAGGCAAACGAGCAGAAGCATCAGCTTTATGACTTCGCAAGCGCGGGCAGCGCTGGCCTCGGCCATGGCCTTGGTCGCGCCGCGATCTCCTGTCACTTGGCCTCAGCTTTCTGGCAACGCCATGCGCGGATATGCGCAGCACGGGATCGGGTCTTAGAGCCTCAGAGTCGCCTCTTTTTGTGCTGCACTGTCAGTTCTGCGAGCATTACCATCAACTGCCCAGTTTGGAGAAACCGAGCAGGGCTACAAGCACGAGAGAGAGATTGGTGAAGAAGTGGGCGGCGACCTCAGGAGCAAAATGCCAAGCGTTGGATGCATGTATGTATGGTGCAGCGCTGCTAGGCCCCCCCCTCCCCCACCCACCCCATGGTATGGGGGGTGGGTTCCCCCCCTGCCCCTTGGTTGCGGTCGGCTAAGCCCCCGTCCATGACCGTAGGATGTGATACAGGTCTATTGAACTCCGACCTGCCCTGAGCTCCAAAGCCAATGATGGTGATGAATATGATGGTGATGATGATGACGAAGATGGTGGTCATTATCCCCATCCGCACTCTCCTCCGGTCCCTTGCTCAAAAGTCCCGAATGAAAACCATTCAAACACGTGCTCAAGCTTACTTGTAGCGAACCCAACCGTAACTTGGCTTGGAATGACAACGGTCGATCCAGTTTTCGCAAGAACATCACAAGCCAAGCACGGTTTTCAACTAGATAAAGCAATGAACATGCGGTGCCGAAGCCCGGAGCAACATAAGAGTAAAGGTACCACCAACAGCCACACTGGGACTAGCACATCAACATCATTGTGCGCAACATTCTCATTTGTATTCGAAGAGAGGGGAAGGGAAGGCGCCCGGTGGTTCCCTGTGTGGATTATCCTTCCCCACCCCACCCCTGTGGTTCGCCGTCTTGTGGTTCCACTGTTCCACTGTTGTGGATTTTCCCTCCCGCCCCTGCCGTGGCGAGAGGCCAGGCCTGGCTTGGGGGGGAGTTACGCGGATGACGTGTGACTGTTTGGCCTGATGGGACGAGACGCCTGGCTTCGGGGGGGGGCGGGGGGGCATACCATGGGGGGGGGGGGGGGGGGCCTGCGACGCGGCGACGCGGCACCATGTATGCAATATCTGGGCCCACACCGTAAAGTAATAGAATCGCCAGGCAGCCTCCACCTCTGCCAAGGCGAAATGAATCCTTGAATCCTCTCTTACTCCTCTTGCTTTCAGCCGTTCAGCCAGGTGGGTCTGGTGACTTGTGACCTGCGCTTGCAAAGGGGTGGCACCTTGCTGGTGACCAGCATCAGCGGATCTTGCGTCCACGTGAAGAACAGTGGATGCTTGGCCTCTTATAACGGCACAAAATGGCACAAGCGCTGACCCAAGAGACAGGAGCGAGAGGCGCCTGGATTCCGTAGGCAGCCTCCGCCTGTTGCACTGCCAGCCGAAAGAACTGGCGCTTGCCCTGTCCAAGACCATGCTGCAGACGACTTTTGAGGATCGCATGCTATGCGCGTTCTCGCCTCGTCAAGGTATCGAAGTCCGGATCGAGCGTGCAGATTGCCATACCTCACTCGTCGTGGAAGCGCATCTTGAATTTGTGTCCTTCGGCCACTTAAGGCCATGGCTCTCCACAGCGAAACTGCTGCTTTGGCCCGTTGCAGCAATTGACCCCAACTGCCCAAAAATCATATGACCTGCGGGCAACCGACAGGTACACTTGTCTCTGCTGCCAGCACTCGTCTGAGTCTGAGCTGCCCGCGCCAGCGTATCAGTTCCGCTTACAATTGGCACGACGCAATACCTCGAAGCCCACATGGGTCCGCACGTGTCCGCATTTTATGGTCTCTGGCCGCACTCGTCAAAGTCGTGGAAGCTCATTGACCTCAGCCAAACAAGCTTTGACGCCACACGTTAAGCATCTGCTGGCCATTTTCACGGTCTTAGCCCCTCGCTTGGTGAAGTCAAGCTTGCTGTCCGAGGCGAAATAAACGCGGCCAGCATCCATCAGCTGCTGCCCTTTCTGGCGGGCAGGATCTACTGCCTCGATACTAACACGCCCAGCCCAAACCCTTGCTGTGCAGCAAGCTGTGCTTCGGCTTGCTCAGATCCGTGCAGGATAGCTGCTCAAATTTTGGAAGTCTAAGGCAGCCTGCTCAGCTACAAGGCGCCCCTTGCCAACAGATCTCCAAAGGCGTGGGAACCGCGCCTCCATCGTGCTGATGAAAGTGTAGTCTCCTAGAACTGCGCCCGTCACCACGGCAAGACCCAGGGATGCTGCGAAGAATGTGTACCTAGCGAGGCTAGGAGAGCAGGATAGAGCAGGGACATCAAAAGACAGAGTGCTCAGAAATTCACGAAAGCTTGCCAGGAACACCACATGGGCTGCGAGTCCAAACCGCGAGAGCATCGACTGAGAGCCAACCTTAAACTTTTCATAGAGCACTGTGTTTAGATAAGTCACGGCCGTCTACAATGTTAAAGTCAACAAAATCATCCGGAGTTCGTTGTGGATGACGAGACCAGAGACTTGATGTTGAGGGGCTTGGATTCGGAACCTGCAAGACCGCCCCCAAAACCTTCAAATAACTTAAGCCCACCTAGACCACAATCAAACCAAGAACCCCACAACATCCGAACCCGGATCTTCCTACACACTTCTACCCCAAATGACCCCAATCAAAACCCAAACCCCTTAACCGCCCTAGCCCTCAAAACCTTCTACTGTACTACTATTTACTGTGCTATCCTGCACTGCTGTACTGCTGCTGTACTCAGGCTGTACTTATGTACCGCTCCGCCGGGACGGGGGGATCTGGGGAACAAACGGGTATGACATGTTCAAGGCGCCGGGAAATGTTTGGGCAGGACATAAAAGGGTGCCACATTAAAGTGATTCAGCCCTGCAAACGAGACCGAGACATTTCCGCTAGGGTCCCCACGACGCCGCAGAGGCAAGGAGGCCCAATGCCTTGCAATATGGTCACTGCGCACAATCCGTTGCAGAGCTATGGAGAAGCCAAGATGGTGACTGCAATCGACCATGCAAGGCGGGGCGTCTCATAGCGCACATTGAAGGCGAGAGCCTTTCAGGTCACCGTGTCCCCCTGTGTCCCCCTAGCGATACTTGCACTCGGGACACATCGAAAGCCAAGCACTGGGACGTCGCACCCCGAAAACTATCGCATAGGCCACTGTTGGAAGCAGAATGTTGAGGCCGACCGCTAAAGCATTCAGCCGCTTCCTGCACAAAGACATGCTGCTGAGTAACCCAGGTCGGTGACTGCACAACGTTGTTTGAAGTTATTTGGATCCGTGCCTTTTGCCTGGCACAAACGCTTGCGTCGGGATTCTGCCAGCTCCTGTGACGCACGGTTGCTTTCCAACAACCCCAAAACCTCTAGACTCTAGAATCTAGACTCTCTAGACTCTTTTTATGCCCTATGCCTGTCTGCGCAAAGGTGCTGTAGGGCATGGCCCTAGGCGCCCCGCTGGCGCCTGCCACGAGGCGATCGCAAGCCCCCCAACAGAAAGATGCTGAGCTCACAACTTTGATAATCCTTCGCCAGGTCACTCAAACTACGTTTCGAGGCTGAGGGGCTGGGCAGTGCTGATTTATGTTGAAGCACCTTTGAGCCTAGCCTGCGGTGTTCTGGAATGTCCGCATGCCATGCCATGCACAGACCGTGATCAGCCATGGTAGTTTCATCAACTCTCGCCTGTCCTGAGTCCACTGCCGAGTCTCCGACTTGGCTTTCTCTTTCTGCCTGCTTGCACCCTCCGCCTCCTCTGCCTCTGCCTTGTCTCCATCCTTGAGGGAAGGGCAAATTGAAAGAACGCTTCAAGGCCACTTAGAGCCGAGCAAGGCCTGCGGCAGCCCTGTGGCAGGTGGCGCCCAGGAAACAGCTTCGGACTCCGCTTCCTCAGGTTCCGCAGACGGACATCAGCGCTCTTCGGTATGGAGGGCAGAGTAGAGCATGCAGTTAAGCGTGCCTGAGCAGGCACGGGCCGGGCTCGCATTTCGGCGATATGAGACTGACCGAGGAATCAGGTTTGGTCACACCGGGTGCCTCTAAGGAGCAGCACTAGCAGACTAGCATGGGTCGGGCCAGGGCCTCCTTCGCTGATGCCCAAGCCGCCGTGGCCGCCGCCTCCGCCACTTCTCTCGCGCGCTCCTCCACAGCCGCTCTGGCGGCCTGTTCCTTCGCAGCCTTGCTGGCTGCTTTAGCAGCCGCAGCTGCCGCAGCTTCGAGCTCCTGGTTTCGCTGCTTCGTGCTGCTCAGTTTGGATGCGAGATCTTGCATCTCTGCAGCCTGCGCCGCAAGCTCTTCCTCCCTGCGTGCTGCGAGTGCCGCTGCTGCTTCCAGCTCTTCGTTGCGTCTCTTTGCTGCGACCAATTGACTTTCAAGATCCTTTAGCTGGGCCTCACGCTGAGCTGCCACTTGCTCTTGCAGTTGTGCTGCCTTCGCAGCTTGTGCGGCCTCTTCTGCCGCCTGCCTGGCAGCGGCAGCAGCTGCCTCAAAAGCTGCCTCGTCCAGATCTTCCTCCTGCGACGGACGTCGTCTTCGTCCTTCGCTTCCTTCGCTGCCGGGCCCGCCGGGCTGCCCCAGAGGTGGCCTCGCCGGGCTCCTTTTCTTCTGAGGCTCCTTCTCCTTCTCCTTGGCACCCGGAGCGGCCCGAGCTCCTGGAGCCCCTCGCTCCTGCCTGTGCCTTCCCTCTTTCTTGGAGCCAGAGCTTAGGCTTCCACTTCCCAAACTTCCGCTTCCCAAGCTTCCACCGCTTCCACCGCTTCCGCTTCCGCCCTTCCCCGCCCTCTCCGCCTTCTCTGCCTTCTCTCTCTTCTCACGATTGGCTGCGAGGAAGGCAGGCCACACCGATGGGCAAGTGTCATGCTCAGGGACTCCAGGAATGTGCAGTGCATCTTCCTCTGTGGGAATGTGAGTCATCTGTGACTGCCTGTGCCTGCCATCTGACTTCGCACTTGCCTGCACGCTGCTGGATGGTGATCCCTTCTTGCTGTGCGTGCTTGAAGTTTCGTCCAAGTCCATACTTGAAGGACCTTGGCGATGGGCATCGCCGCTTCTGTGCACGTGGGCATCGACGTCATCGCCCTGGCCCTGCTTGTCTGAAGCTTTTGGCAGGCGCTCTCGCTCTCGGACAGGCGGAGGGCACTGGGCAGCCCATCCCGGCAAGTAGCCGCGTGCGTCAGCCTCTTCTCCGTCAGCAGCCCTCTCAGGCCCTGGTCGGTGCATCGGCTGCACGTCCTCAGAGGCCAATGGACGCAGGATTACGCAAGGCTCAACAGCCACCCATACAAGTCCTCGCTGCGCAGACTGTCGATCGGGCCGAGGCCCGTCTCTTCAGAACCTCCAGGAGCTCACGAGAAGGCCAGAGTGGAGACTGGAGTTTAGTCCAGGCAGTCTGCGCCTGCATCGCCTCGCAAGCTCCCACCTCGGCTGCAACCCGCGCCTCCAAGTCCTCTCTGGGACCTCTCTGGGAGTCTCTGAGCGCTCCACTGCGCAAGCGATTGCGCATGGCGGCCCGCAGCTGCAAATTCTCGCGCCGAATAACATCGACCTGCCACTGAAAGCTATGCTCAACTCTCGGAGGGTTCACCCGTCAGGTCTACACCCTCGGCTCCCTACATCTCCTTCCAAGAGTTTCAGAATCGCAGTGAGGTTGGACACCTGAGTTGCATGCGCATCGGGTTGTGCAGCTAAGTGTATCTGCCATCAGACTATGGAGAACAGGTCGTACCAGGTCGCAGGCCTGCTCCTTCGTTTCGAGACACTGCTCCAGAACTCCGTCCATGCCCTGTGATCCACGCGGTGATGCCATACCCGCGGCCTTCCACATCAAGGGCTCAAGTCTCTGTACATCTGTCAAAGTCCAAGTCCCGCACACTGGCTCCCAAAGGCATGGTCATGGGCTCCTGCGCATGAGAAGACATAATTTCATGACCCAGCGCGCGCGTTGGCATCACCTCTTACATGTATGAGGTTTCATTGAATAGTTGTCAGTCATCTTTATGCAAGGGAGTAGGGAGGCCTTCAAGAGATTCAGAGAAAGTCAAAAGCATTGGACTTAGGATTCGATGCGAAACCCTGCTCAAAAAGTCTTCCTCCGGTCTTGCTAGAAACAAGTACTTCCAACCACGTCTCCTCAGGCCTATCCACAAATCAGACTCATGATTGTACTTGGTAGCATGGACGTTTCTTGGAGTCAGAGCAAGACGGTCGGAACCGGTCGACGCACCAAATCTGCTGGCTTTCGGAACATGTTCTCGGATCGGCATGTGACTCAAAGGGCGGCGACTACATCAATGGGCCACCGGTGGCGGTATGCCATCAGGCATTGCCTTGCATGCAGTCAGATCTCACCCACGAGCCTGCGGAATGCTGCCATGACCGTTCTGGCCGTTCTGCATCCTGGGCCCGACATCACAAAACACCGCCGTCCCCATCCGTGCATCACAACCCTGCATTTTGATGTGGCATACCTCCTGCAATCTGAAACTGTTGCTCAACACACTCACTTTTCTCGGCGACTAAAGCATCTGCCTGAGCTTGATGCTACGCCAGGCCTGAAGGCTTTGAGGACCGAGTATAAGAGGTCGGTGAGAAGCCAGCAAAGCTTCTGTTCACTGGCGACGGGCTGCCGAAAACCAGTGTCACTGGCGGGGATTCTGCTGCAGGTGGCGGAACCACATGCAGCTTTGCAAAGCGAAGCCCGATGACTTGCATTGGTCGGAGGCAAGGCCCCCGCACCCTTCATTTACGAAACATTCCCAAACGCCCTATAAACTCATTTGTAGAGGCACGTTCGACCCAAGAGATCCGAGCATTTCCAAGCCAGGAGGCGGTCGAAAGCCTGTCGGGAAGAGACTCAGCTGACTCAGGCTCTGAGACACGCGGCCTCCCTCATGCCCCGTAGCACCGCCAGTCTTGCCAGTTACATGTTGCACCGCCTGGCCCCAGATTCTCCGGATGCTCAGCTGTGGCTCCATACCTTAAGTAGGAGACGCCGTGCCATAAGGACAGCTTGTTGCAGCTTGCGACGGAGTTGCCAAAACACCATGTCTTTTTGCACGAGGTCCTGCAACTCAGAAGGCACTGGTTAAGGAAGATTATTCCGTGGACTGCATGCTCATCGAAAACTGTGCCTCGTCTTCACGGCGCCTGGATGCTGCCAAATTCATCACAGTCCTACTCTCTCCTTGCACGCGCTGTTCTTCTTCGGTGCGCCTCTCTGGCTCCGATGCCTTCGGCATGCCACCGCGGCCATCCAAATCCTTCGGCTCTCGCACTTTCACAGCAAGGAGTCCACTGTCTTCGCCCAGCCTCGAGAACCTTCATCTCTGCTGCCTGCGCCTCGGCACGGAAGTTACTGTAAACTGTAAACTTGACTAGGATGCCATCAGGGAGCTGGATGGAAAGAAGGGTGCCAGGGATAGGATGGCAGTCAGAGCTGCAGTAGAGGGTAGGGAGGAGGTTCAAAGGTCTGCTACAAAAAAACCTTTCAGCCTTTCAGTTTGCTGGCCGGCACCTTGGACCTTGCTGGATGCGCACTACATGTAGTCCAGTGATTTGGGAAAGCGTGACCGGCAAGCCCGAGCTGCCACTCCTTCCCCCTTCCTCCCCGCTGGTGTTTTGAACAGGCTCTGTCTCCCCTTGCTCTTCAGGCGAGCGGCCAGCCATTCAGAGGCGCTGCCCACCTGACCGCGGAGGCTATGAACCCTCACTGCCTCCCACGAGCAACAGCTTCTCTGGCAGCCGCAGTGCAGTAGCGGCATCGTTTTCATCTGCCCTGGCTCTCGCCAGACACTTCACACGTGACGTTGCTCGATTCCGGGGTCTCCAAGAAAGGAGTTTGCTCGCAAACGATATTTTCTGGTTCGTCGCTGCGCTGCACGAACCACGAACAGAAAACCAATACGAGGTCGAAGCTGCGTAGGTCAATGTATGTCAAAGTTACAACCAGCCAAGTCTTACAAATTATTTGGTCTAGCTTGCTTTAAAGGAAGCCGTGCTAGTCGGCATGAACTTTCAGCAATCGAGCCCAGAAAGGCAAGGCAAGGGGGCATGCACGCAGCATGGCAACCCCAGACGCTGCGCAGCCACTTTCGACTGCACTTTCCGGAACTTCTGCTGGCCACAGCTATGTGCTCGCAAAGGGCCCGGCGTAGTTCACGCATCAGGCTCCAGCCACGAATCTCAGAGAACATGCTTCTTTTCCCAACATCGGAACCTTGAAAGCATGGACGGTGCAAGGCTGACAAGTGTGAGCAGCTTAGCACTCCGAGCGAATCTCGACAAGTGGCTTGTTGTACAAAGAAAGACCTGCCACGATGATGAAGGCAATCGCAAAAATCGAGACGCCAAACATTCTTTTGTGTTGACTGGCGAGCTGGTCGAGCATTTTCTCGTTTGACCGGCTCAGGGAATCCAGGTGGCCACTAATATCACCACCGGCTGCAGACTTGTGAACATTCTCGATATCGGAATGCAAGTCTGCAAGCTTCTTTCCCCGAGCATCTGTATCCCGGTGCGCGGCAGCATGTATGTCGGCAAGTTCCTTCTTTATCGCCTCAAACTCCTCACCTAGGTTGTGGCCGGTTTTCTTGTCGATTTCCGCCTTCACGCTTTGGAAGCTCCTAAGTCTGAGCACAAGAAATCGAAGTCTCAGCAACGTCTCTGCCTAGAATCTTGTTGCCACTCTTGCAGCCAAAGACTCGACTCCACGGCAGCTACTCGCTTGCTGAGAGCCTGAATCGCTGCCTTCATCTGCTCCCGCTGAGGCTTCGATTCGATGACGAGCTTGAAAACCTTGCAAGTTCAGGCTGCGCCGCAGATTGCAAAGCGCTGAGAATGCCAGCCGAGCAGCCATGTTTGTAAGCTCCTTTATAGCCTGCAAGGACATCGAGACAGCAAAACACTCATGAGCGTAAAGTTTCGGCAACGAATCTCGCCTCGGACTCAGCGCGGTGGTCCCTAAAGCTGGAGTGTGCACCAAGAACGTCTTCTTTGTCACCACTCGGGGCTTTCACGTCGGGAATAGTAGCCATGGAGTCCTCGCCCTGCCCATCTTCGTAGTTGAGCACCTGAGCAGCTCATGATGGCGCCAGACAAGTAAAAAATGTAAACAGAACACCCATCTTCATCTTGAACAGAACGCACGACCACCACAGGACCACGCGACAGCCCCGAGCTCGACAAGACACAACCAACGCTGAGCTGAGCAGCTTCGGCCACATCGTGACTTGACATCCCCTACTGAGACCCTACTGACAAAAGGATATCGTACTGTGTGAGCAGGCGTGTTGCAAAGAGCTCGCTCTCAAACCTCAAGCCTTTTTGCTGTTGATTCGGCCTACGTGCGAAATCCAAAAAGGCCAGGATGCCTTGTCACAATACGTACCTATTCGAGTTCTGTTAATCCACCGAAGACCCCGATTCAATTGCAGACTGGTGGCTTTCAGGCCTTTCAGCTCCACAAAGGCACTTCTTTCCCGAGCAGGGTAGTACGTGTCTTTGGACCCGCCATAACAGGAGAAGCCAATAAAGCCGCCTGCTTTTGCATTCCTTAGGCTGGAAAACTTGAAGAACGCTGTCGCAATTCCCGCTGTTGCATCGGTCTCAATACTACCAAAGAGAAGATTTCCACGGATAGAAATGGATAGAACACTACCATGCAGAGGAGGTGACGCACTGAGGGTGATGGTGCCCTTCTTCTCGCCCTTGGCCTCCACTGAGACCACCATCTCGTGAGGCTTCACTCTGACCTGAATCACGTGATCCTCGCCGTTCTGGAAGTCAAGCGGCAATGCCGTGTCCTTGGTTGGTTTGAAAGCTCGTGAAAGCTCTGCTAGGTTTTTTCTTGCTGGCCTTGCAGGGAGGCTGCCAGTGTGGTGATCTTTTGCCACCGCTTCGACTCAGCCTACCTGGACCCCGGAACCTGCCTGACGACTCGCAGAACTCGAAGAAAACATGGTGTCAAACTGAGGGCCACCCAGGCCTTAGACAACCCACGGCGTTGAACTGCCGATACAACTAAGGACGAAGCAGCCTTCACGAAGGACGAGCCGTCGCCGTAGCTTGCACTCACAGAGCTCTTGCCTCCTGCGTCTTTGCCAAAAAGAACCTTGGGACGTGGGATGCTCTTCAGACTCTCAACCCATCAGCTTTGTTGCCACATGTGCTGTAGCCTGTTTCTGGTCACACCGAAACGGTGCTACATGAGACGAGCAGCTCCGAGTCCTTTGTACTGAGTTTTATAACCATAAGTGCCCAGCCCAAGCTGCTTGACATATGGTGCATACCATGTGCCCGCAATCAGCTCATCTTGATTATGAGCATGTTTTGTGCTGGCATCGTTTGTGATTTCTGATGCATTCTCCGTGGTATACCAGAAGGCAAAGCCGTCCTCCTCGAAGCCTGCCACCCCTGGCTTGGCTGAGAAAGTAAACTCTGCCGAGAAATCACTGGTCTTCAACGGCAATCTGCTGAAAATAGTGCCTACCCGATCAGCAACACCTGGTGTCAAGATAAGGCTTCTGTGACTGGGCATGGTCGTTCCCGTCAAATGCCACATCTTTGCCAGATGGTTAATGTCTGGCGGGTTTGATATCGAATGCCCTGGCAAGGGCGATGGTTCCGCTCTGGCGTACCACGGCAAACAGCCTGCCACTAGTAGCAGTACTCTTCCGCAGGCGCCGCACTTGTTCCGCCCCCTCGCCATGAGGCCCATGAGGCCCACGAGGCCTTACCAGCCGTCGGTCAGCAGCCAAACAATCTCTGGCTTTATCCTGGGTCCTGCAGGGGTTGCAGGCAATTTCCCGGAACAATCCTTGGCTTCGGACACAGAACTTATTTGCCCGTAGCCTCCGAAGCTGGCTCGCTTCCCGCACGCGCACGCGCGAGCGCGCGGTTCGGCACGCGGCCCTATCCTACAGCTTGAGCCCAAGCCACGGCGGACCTGGCTGCAAGGACTGCAATGCACGGGAAGTTTCGGAGAATGTACAACGACTCATAGCTAGCCCAATAAGCGGGCCTTGTCTGCAAGTGGCTTTGGCGGCGTTCCTGCGTTGCAACTTAGCAGAAGGATCGCGGAAATTGCTTTGGCGACGAGGGCGCAATGTCTCCTACGTCCGGCTCTGCTTTGTTCAACTTTTCAGAAAAATTCGATAACCAGTCAGCCACCGCAACCTTCACAGGGCCACTGTCGCTGAAGCTCCGTGTAAGCATCTCTCTATGATCGTCGAAGTCTCGAGTGTCGCGCCTTCTCGTGCCGCGGTGACGATGCTGGTTCTGGGTGTGGCGGGTACGACGGGTGCGACGGGTGCGAGGTGGCCATGGTCTCATCCGCCGTCTTGGTGGGGGTCTCACTTTCATCTCCTGCGCCATCGGTGCTGGTGTGGTTGTGCGGATCAGCCTGCGGTTCCTGCGGATCGTGAAGCCATTCGTAGATAGCTTGCTGGGTCACGAGGCCAGCAGGCACTTCTTCCGATTCTTCCTCTCTCTCTTGGTCAGGACGGTTCGCATCCGCTTCCTCAACCTCCGCAAATATCTTCGCGATGGCGAAGTGCTGGTTCTCGACTTCGTCCAACTTTCGAGGCGAGGACATCGGTGCTGGGGGCACCAAATTCAAGGCCTGGCGCATCCCTTTCTGCTTGGCAGGCTCCTGGCAACAGAGACGGGAAGCCAACGGAAGCCAGCTACAGTGCATTGCTGTGACTTCCAAGTCGCCTTGGGCATCGCCTTGGGCGTGACTTTGCTTCTTTTGCTTGCTTTGTAGCCTTCCTCAGGTGACTGGATCAGACTCCAGCGACACCCCTGGAACAACCCGAGGAGTTTGCCTTTCTGGCTGGCTGTTTTGAAGCCTCCGACCCACCTGCAAACGGTGAGTGACGGACTCAGCATGGCGGCCTGGGTCCACGGGCCTTTTTGCCTGGACCTTTTTGTGCTGACCTCTTGCCCTGCAGAGATGAGTCTCGGGAAATTTGCACGAGCCTGTGAGGTGGTAACATTCGCTAGGTTTCAATCTCACGCGCCTGCGTTGTTGTCATGGCACTCACCCGTCTTGGCTCGTAGTACCTGCTTCCCTTTGTCCACGGGTTCTGCCGGCGTCTTGTCTTCCATGGGCTCTTTGCTTCGTTCTCCGTCTCGTTGGTCTTGCTTGGGGTCAGCTTCCGCCAACTTCTTCGACGCGCGTCGCCGGCCACCTGACCCGAGTTCGATGATGGGCGCTTTGCTTAGAACTGAAAGACAGTCGCAGAGCATCTCACGACTCGCACTGACTGCAGGAGACGCAGCTACTGAGACGCTACCTGCCACTCCACACCCGGTAGTTTCGGGGGGGATGTTCCCAAGGCTCTTGGAGCCTCTTGAGACTGCAGGGCACTGCTAAGTTCGCCATTCTCCAAGTCTTCGAGGCCCCAGTCGAGTATTTGGAGATATGATAGGTTTACGAGTACATCACGATGCAACGTTACAAGTTGTAACTGTGTTAGCAGCGCTTGGCTGAAGCAGGAGCAAAAGCAATCGTCGCAGCATTTCGGGCAGAAGCAAAACAAAAGTATGATCATGAATCAAAAACTATGACAATGCGGAAACAACACCTTGCATTGACGATCGACGAGTCGCGCACACAGATAGACTGGTGACTTACCGTATGCATTTAAATTAGGCTCAAGCCCAAAATCTTCTACAATTGCATCTGTGGGCCAGGAACCCAAAAACCACAGTTCCCATGGAATGTCCATTAGGAAGCATGGTCAGAGATGCTAATGTTTCCGACACATGCATTTTTCTGTAATGTAAGTAGTCCGAGATTGAAGTAGGGTAGGTGGGCGGGACACCGAACGATGCTCCCGGCCTGATTCCTGCACCATCAGAATCAAGTCTCGCATGCCACTGATCACAATAAGCAGCTGGGCCTTGGGGACACGAGAACGCACCGAAGCTTCAGCAGTGTCTGCACCGTTGAAAGCAGGCTGCCGCAAATTGAAAGCTGAAGAAGTACGCGATAGCTCTATCCGTGGAAGACCAGCCGTCCTCAGCACGAGGCTTTTGCACATGCAGGATCACAAAGCTCGAGCGACCGAAAACTAGCAGCTGCTAGAGATGGAAACTGACTCATAAAGGACGTTAGCACAAGAGCAACCACTGCCTACACACGCTGCCAAGATCTCACGCTACGTCGACTGCTGACTTGCATCGGATTCTGTTTCCGACAGCGGCAACGATTCTTCATCACTCCACCACCTGACCACCATTGCCGTGCTTGGTACTCAGCAGATCAGCTCTGGCAACGAAGTGACATCTGGCGCCCCCGCGCAAGGAGATTGCTGTTGTGCAAGCTTTGCTTCGGCAACGCACTCAACGATGAAACAAACCTGCGACGAAACTTCGGTAAAACAACACTAGAACGGCCGCTTGGACATGCTTGGGAAGCTCGGCATCCCGCGACTCCTTCTCCTGAACGTTCCATGTGTATTTCCTGCAAGTGATGGGAATGCACGATTCGTGCCAGACAACGGGTTATCGGTCGGCCGAGGCACCTGTCCCTCCACAGGGCCTTAAGGAAGCCACGATTACGGATACGACTCCTTTCGCTAGGAAACGTGCCTGTGTGCACAAGTTCTGCTGAGAATGATGCCGGATCATATTGAAAGCCGGGAACTTGCGGATAAGCACATTTGTAGGGCTGCCAGAGGTGTAGCCACTGCGCGAAGAGCCGTCCGTGCAGGCTCACTTGGCCGCCTCAGTGCTGGGACTGGGAAGTGCTGCGGTGCTCGCTTTCGCTGCTGAGATCCTTTCCATTGGCATGGGCAATCTCGTAGAGACCTTGGAATTGGACCGCATGGCGACGTCCTGGGCCTCGCAAGCACCCCTGCCGGCATCTTGGAACCGGGCGATCTTCCAGTTCCTTCGTCAAGTTGCCTCTTAACCTGAGATTGGGAGCGGCTGGCGTGGTGCTCTGCACGGCAAGCAGGGAATTTCCCAGGCTGGCAGCGTGAGTTGATTCGCGATGTCCAGAAGCCTTTCCGGTGATGAAGTAGGGGCCTCCACAGCAAAACACAAAAAACAAATAGATGAAACCACCAGCACAGCACAGTATGAGCTGGAGACACGAGCCGCGAGCCTCCACACCAGCTTCCATTTGCCTGAGTAAGCCTGGGCTATGTAGCACAGCGGCACAGCAGCATTCCGTGCACGATGAATACAAATGGGGCTCATGATCAGCCTCGCAGCTTCCACACTCGTCGATGCAGCAAACTGAGAAGTGTGGATTCGGAGCTACGCAATTGTGTGCTCCGTCCACATAATTTGTCGCCTCACATCCCAGATTGGAAGCTATCAGCACAACTCGCCGGAAGCGGTGCCCGACCAGAACGCGGGGCATCCACAGACTCCAATCCACAAGTCCCAGCCCATCTAACTTCCTCAGTAGCAGTTGCGGCAGAAAGCAGGTGGGGCAATTGCTTCTCTGCACATGTCCAAGGCTCTGGGACGACTCTCGGAAGTAGAACCTGCTGTTAGGCACCTGGCAGAGTGGGACGTCAATGGTGCTTTTGCCAATGCGAGCACAGCCTCCGGCACGCTGTAGAATGCCTCCGGAATGCTGCTGGAATCATGCATTCGGCGAGAAGACCACCGGCGGATGAAGCACGCATCGCAGCAAAACAACAAAGAGAATTTGGCGTGGGCTGGTCATGGCTGGTCATCCTGATACGGAGAGGAAGAGACAACAGCTACAAGACGCGGTGCTGGCAGAGAAGAATGCCTGAGGCTGGGTTCAACTGCTGCGGCCTTGCCTCAAGCGAGACTCTGCCATGCCCTGTTTCGTCCAAACCGCGTAAGACGGTTTTCATGTCTTGGCCTGAGGAGGGCAGCTAAGGCACTAAGGCTTGCTGAGGACTGCAAGTAGGACAACTTGGCCCACAGAATTTCGCTGACAACCCATACTGCAGTTCAGTGGCAGTCCAGATTCTGGAAAGACCCGTATGTCCGGAAGAGCTCCAGGAAGGCTGGTGTAGCTGATTTGAACGAGTATCTTTCCTCCTCGGAGCGTCACCGTAATCAGTAATCACAAGGCAAGCCGACATGTGCTTGCAATTGCTTTGCTGTAACTTTGCCGTCTGGTCTTGCATGACCAGCTGCTTGCGGTAGAGCACGTCGCGTCGTTTCGGCCACAAACTTCTTCAACTGTTTCCATGATTCCACATTCTGGGTGGCCGCCTGCTCGTGCAGACCTGAAGCACTCAAAATTCTTGAACTCACAACTAACTACAAATACCGTCGGTGCCATTTCGGCCACATCACGAAATCGGCGGATGATGGCCGCATCTGTCCACTGCTTCAGCCTGGGCAGGTGCAAAAAGCAGTCGAAACTGCAGCTGGGGAACCTAAGTGCTCACTTTGTTGTTGCCGCTGCGACAGCTTACAGTATGCACGGCAGCGCTGCTCGATCTAGCAACCGGGGATGCTGCCCACTCAGCGGGACTCAATTTCTCAACGACAGTTTGCCAGAAGCAGCGAAAATTTGTTGCTGATGGACGTTGCCGGACCCAGCTTTTAGCTGTGCACGGGTCCTGGTCACAACGCTGCAGCGGGCCGTCTCATTCTCTTCGGAGACGATTTTGGCGACGCCGCCTGCGATGTCGGCGGCTGTCGCTTCCTGCTGTCCTTGGGCGCAGACTCAGGCTCCTCCGTGACTGCTTTGCGAGCCTTCGGTTCAAGTTCATCCATGACTTCCTTCCGGACATCGTCGGGCAGGGCGTCAAAGCGGATCAAATGAATCGGGAACACGAAAGAGGCGCGACGCTTTTCCCCCTGCAAAGCATGTGCAGACCCATCCTCGTACTCGGTACGCAAGTTCTTGGTCCAAGCCTTGTAGGGTCGAGAATCTGAAGAAGTCTGCTGTGGTACCCTTTGCCGCCCAGCAAATATGCTGGTGCTCTTGCCACTCTTCTGGCACTTCATGCTCAAAAACGCGTATTCGGCCAATGGCTTGCGAGCCTGCGTGGTGGGCACGAGGCAGGTTTGTGAGAGGCCAGCCACCAAGCCCACGTGTCCCGGAGGGGCTGCTGCAGGTCCGTCATGCTTAGCATTGCTTAGCGTCATCAGGTGGTCAGGGTCTCCACGAGCTGATTGTATGCATGCGGCTGGTAGACCTCGCGGTAGTAATGGAAGCGGTGGAAACGTCCATGCAGACGCTGTTCCAAGGCCAGGCATGGGCCTTGGAACAGTGTCTGCATGGACGTTTCCACCGCTTCCACCCGCATGCTGTGGCTTCAGAGGGTGTTTGGCACGTGCGAAGCCCGAATGGCGGCACTCCTTACTACCGCGAGGTCTACCAGCCGCATGCATACAATCAGCTCGTGGAGACCCTATAGACCACCTGATGACGCCTCGGAAGTCACGACCTCCGCTAACGTGTCTGCGAGGTTGACGTCTCCACCTGCAGACACTGACGTCGCATGCTCTTCCACCTGCTGTGTGGTGAGCACTCTTGCTGATGGCTCCTCCTCTTCAGAGTCACCAGCAGGCCTCGACAGTACCTGGACGCACAGACCCAGGTCCATGAGCTGTCTCCGCTTATCCTCTTGGGTAGCCTCTCCGGCTTCTCTGACTAAGGCAGTGTCCTGAGCAGCATCCCGCAATTGCTGTTCCATGAGGACGACGAAACTACACTGATAGCATCAGCCTAAGGCAGCCAGCCAAGATCTCGCAGGTTGCTCAAGCTGACATCAACACAACGCTAGCAGGAGTATAGCCACCAACTCAGCTCCAGATTGAAGAATTGATTGGGCCCATGCTTCAGGGTCGAAGGCTGTAGAAGCACACGGTCCCAATCGTGCCTTTGGGCCATTGAACACGACTCGTGGCTCACGCTTCGGAAAGGTCGCCGAGGCACAAAAGGATCAGCGCCGATGCCAGAACTCGGCGAAGCTCCTACAATCGAAATCGAGACTGCAGCACCGTCTCCAGAAGCGAAAGTCTGTGTAAACCATGCTTGAGACGCTCCAGTCACCCTGTGAACCCACAAGGGTCGGGGCTCCAGCTCGGCTACCCACTCAAGTCAAGCAAGCTCCAGCTCTGCATCATGCTTGCCCCTGTTGAGCGCGAATGCACGGAAGTTAAAAGTCAGTATCATCATCAAGACACACACGCACACACAGAGAGACACAAACACACCCACACACACACACACACACACACACACACACACACACACTCACACACACACACACACACACTGACTTATGTACTTGCCAGTTGATGGACCAGCGTAACGATGCAATTGTCAGGTGTAAACACCGCCCCCCTGTGCACGAAAAGTTGCTTCCTGCAACCGCGCATAGGGAAGAAACTGAAACTTGCCTTTAAGTTGCAAGGAATGACAGGGCCCGAACTTTCTTGGTGGACGGGGTCCTGCCCACACAGTTTTTGCAGGTACGAGGTTCGGCGTCCCAACATGGTGTCGCTGACTTCGTTGGCCGGCATCACGACACCATGTGCTGGCCCCCCGGCAACTTGCCACGAACGTTGTTGCTGAGAATCTTGTGGCAAAAAGGAAGTGACCCCCTGTACCCATGCACGATGACAACACGCAGACACGGACAGAGACACACACACACACACACTCCCGCGCGCTCGTGCGCGTGTGCGTGCTTGCATGCACAAAGTTAACCAATTTCTCGCTCACCCGCTCCTTGGGCGGAAGCTGCGCATTGGCGGTGTGATTGCGTAGTCTCCATGCAACCTTTGCGCAAAACCAAACGCATGGAGCACCGAGCTAGGTTCGAGTATACTGAAACCGAACCGGATTGAGCTAAGGGGCTTTCAGGGCAATGCGGATCTCTTTGATGATGAGCCTGTCGAACTGCGCCGCAAGAAAGTTTTAGACCCTCATGCTCCGAGAAGCATCTCCTACAAACCACGGTCCTTTGGAGCACAGCCACGTAGGCAGCGAGTTCCGGCAAGGAGTAGGTTGCCGGCAACCCCTCCCGGTAGGAACAAGAATGGACGACTTTGGCAACTTGGGGCTGTCAAGGCCCAGGCTGCCATCGCTTGCGACAGCTTCGGGGCTCTGGTTTGTAGAAGGCTGACTTCAGCCAAAGCCTTTCGAGGCGCGAGGAGAGAAGCGACGAAATGAAACGTCTCGAAAACCACGGCAGCAAGCCTTCACTGGATCCCGATGAAATGGATTGCCGTTCTGAAGGCCTAATGACAGCGCGCAACAACGCTAACGGTGCACAGGATCGATGCACGAGCATCTTGCAAAAGTGACACGTCTGCCAAGATACTTTGCAACTCACTTTTCCTAACAGAAACGAACCTTCCGATGCAAGTAAACGGAACGAAGCATACAAGTCGTCCCATGCAGTTGAACGGAAGGGAAAAGCTGTATCCATGCTTTGATCGTACGAGTACTAAACCATAAGTTCGAATGGCATCTGATGAAGGACGCTACCTTAACCTGACATGGTACGTCCAAAAATGAAGCATCGTCAGATTGGAAGCGAAAGCAGACGAAAACAGTCACGCAAATCAAACATGCAAAACAGCCCGTTCCACTAAGGATCGAAGTCCGGGGTCTGTAGCTCAAAAATGGCTCTGCGCGGGGGAGCTTTGATGTGACGGCAGCTCATCCTCTAGGGAGTTACGGTTTGTGTGCATGGATCAAAGTATCGTCTCACTCAAGTTCGGATGGCTGCTTCTTCGGCTTCGTCTTGCCCTTTGGCGCAGCTTGCTCAGCTCGCTCGGAGCGCTGAGATCGCACAAGTACACTCATTGCGGCTCTTCTAGATGCTAGCCGATCCCAAATCTCCTGCTGCAGTCTGGGAGTGAGCCTGTCGAAAAAGATGAAGTACAGCGGCTGCACTGGCTGGCTACCATGTCGGCTCTTCTCCACGTCCCCAAACGATCCACGCGGCTGTGATTTTGTCAGGAGCAGCGGCGCGCGACTGCTCAGGCTGATCCCTGGTGGCAGCGCAGTCTTTCAAACCGCTGTGCGCGAACTTGATCGCGTAGGGCGAGATGTTCGTGACTTCGTGGCTAAACTCTGGTGGACACGCACAATGTCAGGCGCTGCACATGTCCAGAGAAGCAGAAGCTCATTTCTGACGGCGTTATATCAAGATCCATGGTTTATTAGCCCAGGACTTGCTCCGCCACAAGGACGTCTGCTCCTTCTGTACACCTCCCACGGCGCTAAGCTTTCGGTTGCCATTGTGTCGCAGGTCCTGTCCTCCCTCCATTTTGTCGGGTCCAGCAGGAAAGCGTCTCCATGTCGACTCCCTATGGTCAGATGGAAGTCTTGTTCCGTCAGCCATGCCGCGCCAGGACACTCTCTCGACTTGTACGTCTGGCATCGGGTCAAGCAATTAAGCAAGTTCGTGATCGAACTGCAAAGTCGGGGAGGATTCCCGACTTTGACCAAGCCAGCTGTACTGCAACATGTGCACAATGCCTTGCTTCGTGGATTCGTCTCGTTGCAGCACTGACAGATCGTCGGTAGTTGCAGATGGTATCGTCAAAGTTCAAAGTGCACCCCAGGCCCAAAGGTGTGCATCACCTGTCTTGCAAGAAAGCTTGGTCGGCACGAACTGCAGGTCGTCTTCTTTCGAGTCTGGACTTTCGCAATATTTGGGAGAGTGGCTTCAGAAGCTGCTTCGAGCAGAAGGCGCGCCTCGTTCTCAGCTACTGCAAAGAGGTTTTCGCCCTCGGCAGCTTCCAGGCACTTCTCGGCATCCACCGTTTCTCGGTGCGCTTCGCGAACTCAATCGGTCGACGAGCCGCTTGGCTCTCCGCTTCACACGCCCGGCGCGAGCTGTTGCTCTCAACTCGCGCTCGTGAAATTGCTGTAGAACTCCTCCGGCTCCTGCCTGGTCGGCCGATGCCTTTCCCCAGCACGGCTCGCTCCGTGTCCTCAGCTTGGTCGTCGTCTTCCGGACCTGGCAGCTGCTCGGCAGCTGCCTCGAACCATGCGGCAAGTGCGACATCTCGCAGAACCTCCATGGACTCTATGGCCAGCCGCCTGAGCTTCTGCTCTTCGCAGCCTTCCATGTCTTCGTAGCTCCGTCTCTACGGGAGCCCAGTCTAAGTAGGCCCAAGCAAAATGCTTGACCCCCAGAGTGGAGGTAACATAGGTAACGGGTTGCATGGTTCCATCGCTCACGAAACCGACACAAATTAACTTTGATAACCGATGCAACACGAGAAGAACTGGGGTCCATGCCAAAGTTGATGCCAAAGTTAGTATTGAAGAACAAGTGCCTTAGCTTCGCCAGGCTTCACCGCGACCAGCCCAGTCCAACAAAGAACCAGTCCGAAATGGCCAAGTCGCACCAAATGAGCAGCACCACGAGGACCGACCCGACCTTTTGCTACCTTTGGAAGGGCTCGAAAACTTGGCTCCATCCATGCCTCTCAGGGAATTGGGAACTGCACCCATGCTTGAAATAAAGCAACAAGATGGTGTGAGATACGGCTCCTGCCTGAATCTCTAATAGGAGGGGCAACGACTCGGAATTGTGCCTAAGCTCATATGAGTCGTATTGAGTCATATGTTTGGCTTGATTCAGAACCAGGACTGAAGCCGCCGCCCGTCTGCAAACGAGATGCTCAGACAAAGATCGATATGATCGAACTAGAGCTGCCTCGAGGCCGTTTTCCAAGGTCACATCCTGAGGCAGGACAACGTGAGAGAGGGAATGAACAGGAAGCAAAACAGCGTGTTTAAAAAATGCGAAGGTTGCGGCCCGTCCTGATCGGGCGGCTCCTTCCAACAAAGGGCGGCCAGGAGGAGGAGGACGCAGCAGCAGATCCCATAGCAGAAGAGCTTCGGAGCAACCTGAATGCAGTCTCCAAAGCTGTAGCTCTGTGGCAATGTGCACTCACGGCACGGGGAGATGTGCAGCCAGGCCACGGAGGATGCGGACATCAGTCTATGAAGGTTGCAGAAAACGTCGGGGAAACGCTACACGGATGCTTGATCAGCTGGGCGCCACAAGTGTCCTGCTGCACCCTCAAGTTCAAGCCTGGCGCAATCTATAACAAGTGTTCCTGCAAGGTGATGTTGTAGACTGATGGCTTTCATGCAGAGAGCAGGGCCGCACACGCTTCAGCTCCAAGTCCCCTGAGGTTGCCGCTGCCTGTGCGGCTTCACATAGAAAGGAAGCTTGTAACCAGCGACCTGAAAGCGATGGCAGAGAGGTTGGCGAGAGACGCGTCGGGCGAAATCGGCGTTCGGCGGGAGGTTCGCTTGGACAGCGCATTGAGCAGCCAGTCGATGTCACCGACGCCGCCTATCTGAAACGAGCGTTCGTCGGATCCTAAATCCTAAACACTCAGGCAGGTGGAAAGCAAATCGCGGGCTCCTCAGGGGAGCGAGACCGAATCGGCGCAGCTCCAGGCCTAAGTTCAGCAGCTTCACAGCAAGACTGACTGCCCCTTGCGACAGGGCAACTGCACGCCCCTTTTGGCCGGTCGTCGCGCGGCTCAACCCAGGTGCAGCGCTGCACCCTCAGGAATAGGTTGGCTCACCACAGCCTTCGGGGCTTTAAACTTTAAACTGACCAGACGGTTTCCAGATTGCCAAGTAGTACCGCTTCTACCTGGAGTTGGCGCCTGGATGGTGAAGGCATGCTTGCTTCCCTGCAGGATGCGCAAGCTGACGTTCGCCTGCCAAAACCAACAGGTTCACAGTGACAGAGGCAGCAACTGTGGACGATGGATAGGCCTTCTCGCAAGGCGTGGCTCCTGCTCTCAGCCGTGCGAAAGACGGATAATAGCCGACGCCGACCTTTGCAGATGCGGACATCCCCGTCTGCAAGACGGATCGTGCCTCTTGGGTCACAGCCGGCTTGCCGCCAGCTGTGTGCTCGATACGTCCGGCGATCACCGCAGCGAGGATCTCCTCTGCACCTCCGCTCAAGGCTGCTCCAGCTAGCCAGAAAGCCAACACTTGCAGGGAGCACGCTCATCGCTCCAGCGCACAGCCGAGCAGAAGTGCGCAACCTCGACACAAAAAACTAAGCTGAAATCTTCACCATTCAGAAGCATTGAGGACACTCTGAGCGATTCTTGCAAATCTCAGAACTCCGCTTTCTGGACTGAAGTTGAGCATCCTCTGGCTTGTTGCATGACCACCTGAGAAGCTGTGTTGCTGTCAAGCTGTGCTGCAGGAATGCTGCGAGCCGAGGTGCCCCAGAAGGCTTCAACAAGTCACCTGGCCGGAGCCGACCTTCCTCCCAATCACGGAGTATCTCGGCGCGGCATGCCGGCTCCACAGACGAATCATGCCAGCTTGTGACCACTGCTTGGCCAGTTGCTTCCAGACCGACGAGAGTGAAGGCTCCTGACTGGATTGCTGGACCCCAGACGGCGTGGGGCGCTGGGACTCTGGCAAATTACGTGCCGCCACGCGTCCCACATGCCCTTGCGTGATGGACAGCTCCGGGCCTAAGCCACGCAGCACATGAGCTCACATATAAAGTCCACAGCCGCGATTCCGTCGCACCTACGAGGCTTTGCCACTGTTGAGCTCGAGCGAGTCGGACTCCGGGTGTCCGCACACATTATGCACGGACTGGATGATGCGGAACGACAACGTGCGCAGTAATTCACCTGCACGTGCATGGAAACGTTAGCTTGAACGCAGGGCTCGGTGACGACTGGGGTCTTCCACATCCATGACCTGCTGGCACACGGCACATCGCAGCAGCGTTTGAGTGGCGCCGCATCGAGCACATAGGCTTGCGCGCCTTAAGCGAAATTGAAACAATCAAACGGTTTGGGTAATTTCTCGCCCGTGCCCCTTTTCTGCGTGTGGCATCTGTGCAACTCTTTCTTGCTTGCTGGCTTGCTTCCTTGCTTGCTCGCTCGCTCTCTATCTCTCTTTCCCTGACCACGCATAAGGGCAAGCCGGCAAGCCATCGCAGTGGCCTCTATCGTATGTCTCTTCTTCCACGCAACCACCCCTCCGCCAACCACCCCTCCGCGCGCGTACGCGCCGACGAGCGGTGTCTTTGCTTTGCTTAGCTCAGGGGCGTAGGAGACAGGCAGTCCCTGCCTCCCGCTCCGTGGAGCGGCCCCATCCCGTCATTTTGACAGGTGGGCTCGGCTGTACTGGAGGATTTCGGGAGGCAAGTGCCCTCTTGCAGTAAAGTCGAAATCACGGCAAATGAACAAACTCTCCAACCAACAAGTTCCCTGGGCACTTCGGCTTCCTGTTATGGGCTGGTGCCCTTTTCTGTTTGGGCGTTTGCCCTCTGTGCTAGTGCTACTAAGCCCACCTTACCTGCCTGAGCCCTGCCTTCATCCCGAACGGAAGCCTGATCCCCGCGCACTCACTGCCTTCGACTTTCCGCTCGACCCTTGCCTTCTCGGGTGCCCTCTGCTCTGCTGTGTCCGCCCACGCACTTGTAAACCGCCAGCGGTGTCTGTCTCTCTCTCGCTCTCTCTGTCTCTCCCTCTCGCATACTCAGCAAAGCGCATGGCCGGCACCGGTTGCCAGGCCAAGGGCGGCTCTGAACAGAGAATGTCACCAACGAACAGGCTCTTGGCAGCAAGTAGGACCTGAGCACTGCAGCACCGATAAGCAAAGGCCTGCGGCAATGGCGTCTGCCGCCCGGACTCCATCCGGTCGGCTTGCAACCAGGCTGGAGGGCAGGGCCTGCATGGCCTGCGGCTCTTCGGAATCTCGCAAGAGGCTCCGATCCGACGCAGCCTTTGCCTCGCTGGGCTCTGCAAGAGCTGGAGAAGGTCGTGCTCGGGACGAGCAGACGGTGCGGTGCAACGACCAATGGATTCCTTGAGAAGCTATGCGGCTACGCGGGTTTCATCGCGGGTGCTCTCCTCAGGCCCAGGCTGCCACATTTGTCATTGCAGTATCGCACCTGGCTCAAGGAAATAGCCGGGTCACGCACTCAGATCATCGAACAGTTCTGCGCCGCTGGCCAATTAATCCGAGAAGGATCGAGAAGCTGACGGCCCCTTGTAGCTGGCAGCCATTGGATTTAGGAGTCGGTTTGACTCACGTTGGTTTGTCTTTCGTGGTTTTGTAGCCCTGCGCGGAACCCGCCAAACCTGCCGGACCCCGAACTCCAAACTGCAGCGCCCTGCGCGAGTCCGAATCACTACTCCAACTACTGTGCAATAGAACAACTCCAAGGGCAAGATTCATGCCGGATTCGATCCTGATCCGGTGGCTGTTCTTTTTCGGACAGCCCACACTTTGTCAGTGGTTTACCTGAGCAAAGGGGAGGCCGGCATTTCAGGGCGAGGTTGTGGTTGTCGGCGGGGCAGCTGTGGCGGCTGGCGGCTTGGCAAGGGCTGTGCAGGCGACGACAGCAGGGAGGAGCGAGCTGGCCAGGGCAACAGCTGCCGATATCTTGAAAAGCGCAACCTCCCCCAGACAGTGAAGAAGGAGACCTCCAACCCAGGCAGCACTTCCCTGACCGACACCTACCCAGCAAGAGCCCACGAGGCTCTGCATCGTTGCTTGGAGCTGCTCCGGTGCGATGTCGTAAACCTCAGATGACCCAAAACGGACTCTCCTGTTTGCAAAATGCTGCAGCGGGTACCCTGCTCGCCACGACCTGTCAAAGCAGTGCACCAAGCCTTCCGTGTAGCTGAGCCTCATCCAGCGTAACAGCCGCATTCGCAATCGAGAAGGTGATTCCATGAAGCAGCTCTCCAGGAAGCACCCAGGCAGCGTCCCAAAGCCACGCAATCCAAGCCTGCAGGGTCAGCTGGTGAGAACTGGACAAACAGACCATCTTGACGCAAGGGGGATGAATTGCGAAAACAGCCGTTTCGCTGACATGCCTGCCGAAGGGCCGTGCAAAACAGTGCCAGGCTCATGATCGGCCTGGACTGCATGCTCTGACTTCGATGGTTTTAGACAACGATTCATCCTTATCTTGGCTAGTATCCCTCCAGCAGCAACCAGGAATGCAGGCAAGCTGCATGATTCCAAAGCGGTCGATGATGTTTTTGGCGTAATAGAAGAAGGGAATCTCAGAGATGATCATGCACACGGCACTGAGACCCATGATCGTGGAAGATCCGTGCTTCAGGTGTTGTAGCCTGACGTATGTGTACGTCTGCATTATGCCCTCCCCGAACCCCAGAGCCACCACGATTGCAAGCGTCACTGCTACGCGTGGTGTCGTGACGAAGCGCATCAACTCTGCTGGTCTTGGCCGCGAGTGTAAAGACTGGGCGACGCCTTCGTTCACGTCTTGACTTCCTTCGGCAGAGACCATCTCACTGGATGTCGACAAGAGCTGCTCACGCGAAGCCGTGCGGGACAGGCCTACAGCAATGCCAGACATTGCCAAGCCAACTGCCAAGCTCTCCAAAAAGATAATATCATATCCGAGGGATGCATTCAGCCACTGCGCAAGAAGTCCAGTCAGCAAGGATCCCGTGGCAAAGCCGACCCCTCCCCACAGCCTCACTTTGCCGTAAGTTTCCTTTCCAACATAGCGCAAAGTGATCTCTGTTAAAAGACCACCAGGAGAGCATGCTGCCTGCACACACACCAATGACAATACCCACCCAAAGCACCAGCGTGCCGGAGCTAACCGAAGAGCCGGCCACACAGCACACTGGCAGCACGCCTTCAGCAACGAAGTCCAAGCGAACAAGTAATGCCTCTTATGAGCTGCCGTTCGATCTGCTAAGAAACCTATGAGAGGGCCGGTGATAATCGGTGCCACGAGCCCTAGCGCGGAAATGAGACCGATTGCAGGGCCTGGAAAGCCAGCTCGCTCAAACAGAATGACAACAAAGCCCTGGGGCCTTTGAACTGCCCATGCAAAACCCGACAAGAACTGCAGCAAGATGAGGTTCACCACTGTAGCAGAGCCCACGATTCGCGTCTCGGCCGACCCAACATCTGCATTCTGAGCACAAGTCATACGTGCTGTACAATCG